GACTGTTGCAGTGTCCCCATGGTCACATGATCAAAATACAGGTGCTTAGCAACTGGCATGTATTTATAATTGTTACAGCATCCCGCAGTCATGTGATAATAAAATAATAACAATAATAATAAACCCTTTATTATCAAAGTATAACATGTATACAGTGAAATTGGCTGACCCTCCCTCTGTGCCCCCCCCTCACCACAAACTCACGGTGACTACAAACTCCCAACTTATTTCACCCTGTGAACTAATTGCATATCACGCCGGCCTCACGAGTCTGTCATGCATAAAGTTATAAAGTTATGTCCCATTCAGAAGCCTGATGGCCCATGAATAAAAGCTGTTCTTCAGCCTGTTGGTACAGCTGGCTATGTTTCTGTATCTCCTACCCGATGGTAGGAGAGTAAAAAGGTACCAATCAGGGTGTGAGTCATCCCTGAGAATTTTCCTCACTCTGCCAAGGCAACGGGCCCTGGCAATGTCATCCAGTGGAGTCAGGGAACAGCCCACGATGTCTTGTGCCGTGCTCACCACCCTCTGCAATACCTTCCTGTCCGCGGCTGTCAGGCCAGCATACCAAACCACAATACAATATGTGAGAACGCATTCAATAGTAGACCGGTAGAAGGTCATGAGTTGTCGTTTTACCCTGTTCTTCCACAGGGTAGGTGGTAGGTGTTCTTCCGCAGGTGCAAATGGTAAATGATTCCCATTTGCACCTTCCCAATTGGCATCCAACAAGCCAAGTCAATAGGGAAAGCTGAATTCACTTAACAGCCATGTAATTTATTTAACTGCAGTGATTTTGCTTAACAACCGTGGCAAAAAAAATCCTAAAATTGACCTGACTCGGTTAACAACCACCTTGTTAGCAAGGCAAATTCTCATCCCAATTGTTGTTGTAAGTCGAGGACTGTTAATATTTACATATGTATGCAAATTAGGAAATGAGCACTTAAGTCTTGACCTAGGGTTGCAATTATTAAAAAAAAAAAACCTGTTTTTTTTAATGCAGGGAACTGCAAGTGGATCCGGACTCCTGTAATTATGTACACAACGCACGTAATCACAACGGTGGTTGCTTGCCTGGCTCACATTCTGTTTACTGATTTCTCCAACGCCAAAGTCCCGGCTCCACAGACCCTGCAGGAACGCCTGACCCTGTCTGCTTTCTATGCTCCTTTCTTAGCAATTTCCCTTGCGATGCTGCTTTTTGTATTGTTCAGCTCTGCTTATAAGGCAGTTGAAAAAAAGAAGAAGAAATAAAACCTTTGGCCCTTCTCTTTTGGGAAGGAAAATGTGCCAATTTAATCAAGGACAGTGTGCGTGTTTCCTGATACTATCAAACTGATAGGGGAACAAATTTTTTTAAAAAGGAATTGTCTCCACATATGATTGATAGGCTTCAAAATGGCAAATGCAGTTCAGAGTGTGTGCAAAGTGATATATGTTGGCAGAGAATTCTTTACTACAGCTGTATTTTGATACAATTTGAAAGGGAATATTGAACTCATTGATAGGTATGTCAAATAGTGTCCTACGACTTGATTTATTTTTTTTCTTTGCCCCTTCTCAGAAAATACTTTTAAAACTTTAAAAAGTTTCTTTTGTAGAGTCAGTATAGAAAAGTTATCCAAATCACTCTTCTTGTTTGTTAATTTTATGTTCCTTTTAATTATTAAAATATCAATCAGTTTAATCTGTTATATGCAGTGTATTATCTTTTTTCATGTTGTTCTTGTAGCTTGTCATTTTTAAATCCACATTCAAATCAATTTCAGTTCTGTATTATCTTTTTTCTATAACATCACTTATACATCATCTACGATGACAGACATTCTTAAAATTAACTGCTGAGTCCATTGTTCATAAATATTCTTCAAAAATTCCAATGTTAAAATATTTTGCTCCAATCTATGTTGACTCATTAAGTATTCTTCTCCTTTAATTGTGATCTTTCATTTCTTCTAGTTCAGTTTAGTGTACTATCTAGTTCGCTTTAGTGTACTACCTAATCATTATTTTTCCTAAAGAATCTAAACAACAGCAATTTCCCACAGGAAAGATTCTTATATATTAGTTCTAATTCTTATAATTAATTTCAGATTCTTATTTCAAATCCATCTGGACTCTTACCCCATTTTTAACTTTCCAAAATCAACACTCTAAACACCTTTCTGCTGTCTATTCCAAAAAGTTAAAAAAAATCTGAGTTGTTGAACTTATACTTGAAACTTCTTTCACTAAGAAGGAGACTCACCCAGTGAATGAGATAAAAGCATGACATTCTGCAGGTTCTTAGTAGTTGAAAAGCAGTTTTAAAAAAAAGCTATTCCAAAACTGATTAAGAAATGAGGCTTGTTCAAGCTTTGTGTCCATATAGGCTACGTTACAAATGGGGGCTTAGATGGAATCCCTTGAATCCAGCTGCACGACTCATAAGCCGACTGAAAAAAACTTTGATTTCTGCAGCCTATTCACAAAGAGCAGCTATGCAGAGTACTTGTGGCAATCTCACGATCTCTCCTTTCTCTGGAGCGATTTCACCAGCCACAATCCATCCAGCCTCCAATCTCCGCCATAAATACTGTCCCCATTCCTTCAGGGAATCTAGCTCACCCTGTCTTCATTAGAAGTCTCCCTCCAGCAGTATTTAAGATCTAGCTCTACTGAATTTAAGATCTAGCTCTACTGAATGAAAAATTACAACCGATAAAATTACAATTGTGTACTAGCGTAGACAATAGAAGATGATATATAGGTCCAGATTCTTACCTGTGGGACAATGAAGTTGTTATAGGTAAGAATATATAGTGGGGCTCATAATACTTTGCCTCCTATTATTCTGGAAATAAAAGAGACTACAGTAAAGACAGGAAGTCCTCTTTTAGTGTGTGTCACACATGAACTACTATTTTAGTAGCAAAAGGAAGATTTTTCATTGACTCAGTTCTTTTACATTATTGGAGTTTGGACACATTGTGTTTTCAATTTCCTCTTACTGTCCTGTTCATGAGCTCCCAAATTTTATCCAGTGAATGCACTTTTAAGATATTCACAAAGATTGAGCAAAAACTGCATCTCTGTAAGACAGGTGGTCCTCATTTCCAACCAGCTGGCCTCAAAGGGAAGAAGAATTCTATTTTCTGAAGAGGTTTGATGACTCCCATCTCATGAACCCCATGTCACTTTGACAGGGTAACAGTGTTGCCACATTTGTTTGCCTGTGTGGCCACTTGCCAAGTAGCAGCAAGTTCACTTTCCATCCTGCTATTCTTGCAGGAATGCCATGCCTTCTTTATTGGTGCTGAAACCTTTGCGCTGGACTTCTCTTTTTCTCCTTCGGTGAAGCTTTCTCCAGCATGCTGTCCTCAGATGCCTTAGACTTCTGTTCTGAACAGCCATGCTGAAAAGCATCCACATTCATTATACTACTGAACTTCCCTCATGAGAGAATCCTTTTACTTTTCCCATACTCCTGGACGAGCAGTTGTGGTTAATTTAAACAAAGCGACAATATTCTAAAATAATGCAGCCTCAAAGTTTAACAGAAGCACAGAGCTCTGATCATAAACCTCCTGATGTGGCTGTCTGGACCTGCTTCATGGTTGACTTTGCACATTTTAAAAAGTGGATGAAAATCTATTTTTCTGATTACACTTTTGTATAGACTGAATCTTGCCAAGTTGATACTCCTCCAACAGCATGGCCACAGCTCACTTAACACACTATATTCCATGTGGCTTTAATTCCAGAATCCAGAATGTTCTAGCCTTTTCCAAAGTATCCTCTACAAAACAACAAAACAGTAGTGTACTGAGACCCAATTAAGCCTCTTCCACCAGGAAGATTCATTCAACTGATGGCTAGAATTTAAACTTCATTATCTAAGCCAGGGGTCTTCAAACTTGGCGTGCCTGGCTGAGGAATTCTGGGAGTTGAAGTCCACAAGTCATAAAAGGGCCAGGTTTGAAGACCCCTGATCTAAGCCCAGTATTTCTCCGTTTTGGCAAGTTTAAGAAATGTGGACTTTAACTCTCAGAATTCTGCAGCCAGCATGCTGAAGAGATGACGTCCACATCCCTTAAACGTGCCAGGGTTGACCCTTGGCTCAAATAGATAAATAGCCAAGTAGACATTTGCCAGGGTTGAGAAACACTCTCCAACCTATTGGAATCCACGACCAACGTTGAAGAGCAAGTCAACATTTGACATCCCAAACTCGCCAAATCACATTTTTTAACCCACATGGGTGTGTCAGAACTTTGGCAATTTTAAGATCTGTGGACTCCCAAGTCTGCGAGTTGAAGTCCACGAGGTCTTAAAAGTTGCCAAGATTGGACACCCAGATCTACACCATTGTATGGACCCAACCTATGCAGGTTATTTAAGGGTATTTTTGATTAAGCTAGGCATGATTAAATTTCGGGCAAGCATATCCGCAGACGCACGCAATGTTCCTTAGACGTCCTTCCATCCCTCAAGGCTTTGCTATTTTCCTGGTTTCTTCTTGGGAACTGCGTTGGATTAAAGCAGGGGTAGTCAACCTTGGCTCTTTTATGACTCGTGGACTTCAACTCCCAGAATTCCTGAGCCAGCATGGCTCAGCATGGAAACCTCTCAATTTCTCCTCAGCATGGCTGGCTCAGGAATTCTGGGAGTTGAAGTCCATGAGTCATAAAAGAGCCAAGGTTGCCTACCCCTGGATTAAAGAGAGGCTGCGAGGCTTCCCCCCACCCCCTTGCCCTTTTCCCCGCTCCGGCAGCCGCCGCATCCAATCTCGGCTGATCTCTAATAGCAAAACTCGGCGGAACGTGGGAAATTGTCCAGTTGGATCCGGGGTGAAATTAGGTGGCGAAGACTTTCCTATTGCCCCGAAGGACAACCTGGAGAAGTGGGCGTAGCCAGCTGGGCAAGAGGCCACACCCCCTCCAAGGAGAGCCAATGGGTGCAGAGAAAAGCGGTCGTTAGTTCCCGGCGCTTGCCAGCTCGCCTTCACACCGAGAGGGGCGATGGAGGCGGCGCGCGTCCTCGAGTGGATCTTCGCCTTCTACTTCCTCACTCACAGCCCGATCACTTTACTCTTCGATTTGCAGCCGTTGCTGCCTGGAGTTTACCCTTCCGCCGTAAGTAGAGAGGAACCGCCGAGCTTGTGCGGCTGCTCCAACCTAAAGCGCCGGGGATCTGCCTCGCTTAAGAATCTGGCACCGGGTCCTTTGCGTATCTAGTGCGGAAAACTTGCTCGAGGACGCTGAAGAACCGGGATTCTTTGGGGAATGGGGGAAGTTGCATGGACCATCTAGCTCTGGATGAGTCCAACGAGAGATGGGAACTTCCAGCGCGTCTCCCACCTGGGATATCCCTGTGGCTTGACTGGATTACCACTGGGGGCTCCTCTGAGACAGCGCTTTCAACACTCTGGGATTGGGAAACAGGTTGTACTATATCAGAATTTGCAAGTAAGCCTGTTGGTTCATTGAATAGGGCCCCAGGTCTATGCTTTACCTCATCCCTTACAGCAGTGGTTCTCAACCTTTTTAATGCCGCGACCCCAACCGGTCATAAGTCGAGGACTAAACCGGTCGTAAGTCGAGGACTAAACCAGTTGTAAGTCGAGGACTACCCAACCGGTCGTAAGTCAAGGACTTTCCCTGCCCGGGAGTGCCGCGCATGCGTGGTTCCGCCCCCTGCGGCGGCCGAGGCATAGCTGGCAAGCGGCAGAGACAGAGCAGGCCGACCACCAGCTGGCCCAGCCCAAGGGAGGTAAGGCACCCGCCGGAAAAGGGGGAAAAAATGGCAGACAAAAAAAATGGTGGACAGCCTTGCTTGGCGACCCCCGTGAAATGGTCGATCGACCCCAAATGGGGTCCTGACCCACAGGTTGAGAACCGCTGCCTTACAGCCTTCTGAAAAAATGAAGACAGAGGCTGTGACTACAGTTTAATTCTTCAAGTGGGTCCACACTTAAAAAATTGTGGATCCACTTGAAGAATTAAACTGTAGTCACAGCCTCTATCTTCATTTTGAAAATAGAGATGATGGAAAGAGGCAGAAAAAGTGATGTGGTCCAAGCAAGGGGCTGTGCAACAGATTACAAGTGACTTGTCCTCCCAAGATATTGAACGTTGCTGTGAAATCAACCCATTTTCAAGCTTCACATAATTCACTCAATATGGGTTGGGTTCAGGCAACTGCTAAAGCCACCAGCAGACTAGAAGGCAGAATTAGCCATATGTAGTGTGAACTCTGTTGTTAAGGCAAGAACTGACCTATTGAACGCTGCTTTGATACAGCTGGGGAGGGAATAGGAGAGAGACCAGGAGGGCTATAAATGGAAAGGGACAGTCTGAAGAGGGTTTCCTTCAAGTTGTGTCTAGGCCCCTTAGTGAGGGAGCCCCTTGCTTGTCACTCAGCATAGGTACTTGATACCCTAAACTAAACCAGGGGAAGGCAATCTTGACTCTTTTATGACTTGTGGACTTCAATACCCAGAATTCCTGAACCAGCCATGCTGACTCAGGAATTCTGGGAGTTGAAGTCCACAAGTCATAAAAGAGCCAAGGTTGCCTACCCCTGCCCTAAACAAACAACTACCAAGGAGAAAAGCCAACATCAGCAGGGCAAGCTACTGTATATAAACAGGGGGTAAACTCCATGATGCTGTTACTTTGTCTGGTCATAAAATGTCTGCAAGCAGGCTCAGAGAGCACCAAGGACTCCTCAGTTGAATCTTCAACAATGGATGGTCTCTTCTATTGGCCTGCAAAAGTTGTAATCAGAACCTATCACATAGTTTGAGAAATAAGGAAAAATCCCCCCATGCTAACAAAACAGGCCACACCAACTGGTGCCAAGTTCTACCTACATGCTTTGCATCAGTCTCCCACCCAACAGTAAAATGGGGCAGGGTTTCTATTACACAGTTGCAATGCCAATTGAATGTCATTGCTCCACCCCACCATAAATGGAAGATTAAAAGGAAGATTTAGGTGCCCCCCTCCTCCTCCTTACTCACCAACCATTTTCTCTGTTCCTAAAGCTGTCCGATATGATGACCTGGTACACAACTACTTTCAAGGATTCAATAGTGGCAAGCCGAGAACCCTGGTCCATGTCTTTCCTTTGCTTCGAAGCTTTTCCACAACTGTTTTTCTTTCCTGTGGCTGCTTACGCCTTCTGGAAAGGTAAGTGTGCAAGTTTGTGTGAAGCAGGTGAGCATGGCATTGGGTGGGCAGAGAATCATGATAAATTGTTCTTGGAGAGTATTTCCCAATGGAGTTTGAAGGTCAAGAAGCATCCATCGGACTCATGCTGGATTGGACAGACTGTTGGCAGCCTGGACAGGCTTATCTATTTTTTCTGAAATAATGAAAAAAAAACCTTTTTATGGCACAATTTGAAGTAGTCCTTGACTTATAACCATTCGTTTAGTGACTGTTCTAGGTTACAGTGGAATTGCAAAAAGTGACTTACGATCAGTCTTCGCATTTATGACTGTTGCAGTGTCCCCATGGTCACATGATCAAAATACAGGTGCTTAGCAACTGGCATGTATTTATAACTGTTACAGCATCCTGCAGTCATGTGATTCCCATTTGCACCTTCCCAATTGGCATCCAACAAGCCAAGTCAATAGGGAAAGTTGAATTCACTTAACAGCCATGTAATTTATTTAACTGCAGTGATTTTGCTTAACAACCGTGACAAAAAAAATCCTAAAATTGACCTGACTCGGTTAACAATCCCCGTGTTAGCAAGGGAAATTCTCATCCCAATTGTTGTTGTAAGTCGAGGACTACTAGTATTTACATATGTATGCAAATTAGGAAATGAGCACTTGAGTCTTGACCTAGGATTGCAGTTATTTAAAAAAAAACACGTTTTTTTTAATGCAGGGAACTGCAAGTGGATCCGGATTCCTGTAATTATCTACGCAACGCACGTAATCACAACGATGTCTGCCTGCCTGGCTCACATTCTGTTTACTGATTTCTCCAACGCCAAAGTCCCGGCTCCACAGACCCTGCAGGAACGCCTGACCCTGTCTGTTGTCTACGCTCCTTTCTTAGCAACTTCCCTTGTGATGCTGCTTTTTGTATTGTTCAGCTCTGCTTATAAGCCAGTTGAAAAAAAAAAGAATAAATAAAACCTTTGGCCCTTCTCCTTTGGGAAGGAAAATGTGCCAATTTGATCAAGGGCAGTCTGTGTGTTTGTGTTCCTAGGGGAGCAGAGTAGGGACTAGGCCTCAGTGTGCCTGTCAGAGGGAAAATATTCTCCGGAGGGATCTTAGAAAACCACCCTGAACCAGTGTTACACCACAAAACCTGCTTTTCTCGTAAAAGGAGTCGTTTCACCAATATGAGGTGAAGAGAGCATCAGACGGTGTGGGAATTGAGAGCTGATCGGTTACCCCACACCACCTTTCTTAAACCGCAGGAAAAATTCCAGATGAAAATGTGCTGATGCTTCTCCTATGTGAAAAGAGACCATGGGGAAATTTAATTGACATTTTTCTATGTTAGGAATTATTTCTTCTCTGCGGTACAGATTTGGTATTCCAGCATCTCTGGCCAACAATTCTGGAAGGAGAGGGTAAAGTTGGCGGATGCAGGTTAAAAAGAGAGTGGGGCTTGACTGGATAGTTGCAACTGTCATCTTGACTATTTTGACCTTCACTTTAAACCCCCTTTCCAAAAGATCAATTTCTATACCAATGTTTCTCAACTTTGGTAACTTTTTAACATGTGTTGCCATGCTGGCTGGGGAATTCTGGGGGTTGAAATCCACACATCTTAAAGTTACCGAACTTGAGAAACACTGTCCTACACAATGCCCAAACATCATGGGAGATTGGGCTGGGAACCTATTCATCTGAGTGAGTCTCACCACAACCAGCTCCAACACCTTGCCTTCAGGGCTGGGGTGCAGCTACACAATCATGCAACTGCAGGATGTTGTCATTGGAGGGTGGGTGTTTCTATCTGTGATTCTTCTAGGGGTTGAGAGGGAGGGACTGGCCCCGAGGACCCAGCTAGTTTCATGCCTATAAGCAGGACTAACTCCTGCTTTTGACTGCCTGAACCCAATCCGTATTCAGTGGATTGTGTGAAGCTTGAAAATGGGTTGATTCAATAGCAAAGTTCATTAGGTTGTGAGACGAGGACACTTGTGATCGCTTTGTAATGCACAACCTCTTCTTGGACTACACAGTCTTTTTCAACATTTAAAACCCTGTGGAACAACTTGAAAAATGAAATTTTAGTTACAGCCTCTATCTTCATGTTTTTCAGAAGCCTGAGAGGGGCGAGATGAGGGACACACTTGCAGCTGTATTTGTTTTAAAAAAAAATACCTATCATTATCTACACCTGTCTGTCCATCCATCCATCCTCAAATGCTAGTTAATGTAAGGATCAAATTCAGCTTTTTTAAACTTTCATTCAAAAAGGTGCAAAGATCCTTTCTAAAAGCCAAGTCGAGGGATGAGAGAGTTAGCATCTAAGGCTCCAGGGATAGGTGAGATATAAATTTTTATCTTTGGTCATACCAGAACATATGGTATTTATCTATGGGTCAAACATATATGGCTACCCATCTCACTTGCAGTGACACTGGGCAGCAACCAATAAAAAGGATTAAAATGTATTAATCCTGAACTTAATAAACAAAGATCAAACGCAAGGGAGGTGTTTACATAAAGAGTTTGATCCAGATGTTTCGTTGCAATACACCTAACTTGCTTCACGGTTGCTGGAATTAAGCCCAGTTTTTGCCCAACAGCTTACTTGCAAAACTTGGCTTTTAGTATACAGGTAAATCCTCGTCTTACAACCATTCATTTAGTGACTGTTCAAAGTTAGAAAAACAGTGAAAAAAGGGACTTATGACCATTTTTCACACTTGCTGCCATTGCAGCATCCCCACGGTCATGTGATCAAAATCTAGACACACGGCAACTGGATCTTATGATGGTGGCAGTGTTCCCGGGGTCGTGTGATCCCCTTTTGCGACCTTCTGACAAGCAAAGTCAATGGGGAAGCCAGATTAACATAGCCACTGTGGCAAGAAAGGGCATAAAATGGGACAAAACTCACTTAACAGACTCAATTAGCAACAGAAATTCAATCATGGTTGTCCCGAAAGTTATTTTCCGAAAAGCAACTGGACTTAACTTTGTTTTTTTCCTCGAACACCTTTCACTTCTCATCCAAGAAGTTTCTTCAGTTCCGAACTGAAGAAGCTTCTTGAATGAGAAGCGAAACATTTTCAAGGAAAGAAATCAAGAAAGTCTAATTGCCTTTGGAAAAGCACCTATGGGACAAGCAGATCTGGATGACTGGGAATCTCCATAGAGCAGGGGTAGGCAACCTTGGCTCTTTTTATGATTTGTGGACTTCAACTCCCAGAATTCCTGAGCCAGCCATGCTGAGGGGAAAGGGAGAAATTCCAAGCTGAGCCATGCTGGCTCAGGAATTCTGGGAGTTGAAGTCCACGAGTCATAAAAGAGCCAAGGTTGCCTACCCCTGCCAGAGACATTCAGTTGTGGTCGTAAGTCTGGGCTGCCTGCAGTACAACTTGCTTCCTAGTCCCAGAGTGCCTTCTTAGAGCGGGCCCCGTCTTCCCCAGAGACCTTGGGGAATCCACCTGAAGGCCCCAGGTAGGGGAGCGCTGGATCCGCCCGTCCCCAGTCAGACTCATCCAGAGCTCGGTGGTCCCTGGGGCTTTTCCCGTTCCCCAAAGAATCCCGGTTCTTCGGCCTCTTCAGGCAGGAGCGAGGCACCCGGGTCCAGATTCTGGCGCAAAGTGGATCTCCGAGGCTTTGGGCGGGACCAGCCACTGGAACTTGGCGCTTCCTCTACCTACAGAGGGCGGATAAACTCCAGGCAACAACGGGTGAAGATTGATGAATAAAAAGAGCGGGATGTGAGCGAGGAAGTAGCAGACGAAGATCCACTTGAGAACGCACCCCGCAGCCGTTGCCTCTGGAGCGTCCGCGGGACTGGCGGGCACTGGGAAGGATCACTTTGCTCCTTCCCTGGTGGCTCTCACTGGGGGGGCATGGCCTGCTGCCCCCGCCCACTTTTTCCAGCAGAGCTCTTTGGGGGGAAGGGTCTTCGATAAAGGTCCCGCCGGGGTCTCTTCCCTCTCCGCTGAGGGACCGACCCAGTGCAGCCCTCGGGACGAGTCATAGGAATCATCATAAAAAGACCCATTTTATGACCTTTTTTGTTAAGTGAATCGTTGCAGTTAAGTTAGTAACATGGTTGTTAAATGAATCAGGCTTCCCCAATCACTTTGCTTGTCAGGTCACAAAAGCTGATTGCATGACCCCCAGACAGTGCAAAATGTCATAAATATGAACCAGTTGCCAAGCATCCAGATTTTGATCACGTGACCAAGGGGACGCTACAACAGTTGTGTGAAAAACGGTCATAAGTCACTCTTTTCAGTGCCGTTGTAACTCTGAACGGTGACTAAATGAACTGTTGTAACCACAACCCCATGGATGGAAGATTGAAGGTTGATTTTTGACCACAACCCCATGGATGGAAGATTGAAGGTTGATTCAGATGCCTTCCTTTTTCTCCTCCCTCTCCTGTTCTTTCTCTCTTTCACTATTTCTGTCTCATCCGTTTCTGACATGCTTTCTTCTCTCTATCCAGCATCAGTCTGATGTAAGTGCAGTAGTAAAAACAACAGGTCATGCAGAGTTTCCAAGGATAGTTAATTGTTCCTTGAAAGCACGTTCTTTTTTATTTTCTTAAAAAGTGGGGGAGGGGCACAAACCCAGTGAGAAATACAGTTTAGTGATTGAAACTCTCATTACAAAACAGCTGCTAAGAAAAAGACTTAAATACAGGAATTGCTCCTTCCTTTTCATCCTTCGGAAGCGTATCCAATCACAAACATCTTCCCTGGGAACCTGCCAACCGTGGTTTCCATCATCCCCAACTACGGGACAGGCTGCTTGGGGACAATGAAAACTCTCCGGGTTGGACAGGGGATCTTGCAAGGTGTATCCTTCAGTCGACGCTTCCACAGCCTGTTCAAACTGCCTGATCTGGAACAACAGGAATGGGTCAAGTTCTCTTGGTCTGTTGGTTGCCATCAGTTCTTGGGTCTACTTCTGGAAGATAAACTGGTCAATGAATTCATTCTGGTCCGCTTCTATTTTGCACAGTGTTTGATACTCGACTCGGTACCTGAGGATCAAGGAAAGCAAAGAGTGAGCTGGCAGGGCTGAAGACAACTGGAAGAATGAACAACTGGGGAAGATTTTTCAGCTGGGAGGAAGAGTTATGACAGGAACAAAAGCTGATGGCTTCCCTGTGTTTGCATTCTTGAATTATTCAAGAAGTGTCAGAGCACTTTAGGGAGTAAAAACTCTTCCAGCATTCTTTTGAATTCTTTGGCAGCTGCTTTATGACAAGAACATAGAGGAGAACCCTCCCTGATGGATGCAGGGGATGGCCAATCAGGCTGCGCTGGGCAGATGAGGGAGGGAGGGAGGAAGAAAAGTGTTCTAGGAGTGTTTGGAAGGCCGTGCAATTAATTGGTCCTTTGGAAAAAGGGAGGCTGTGCCATTTGGCATTCGGTGTACATTATATATGTAGCTCAGGGTTGAACTATGGAACCCTTGGTGCACTCTGTTTATATATAGTACGGTAGCTTGTCCTGCCGACGTAGGTGGGAGTGTGATTTTTTCCTTGTTAGCTTTTTGATTACAGTATTGTTTTCTGCTTATTTGTCTGGTGTTAATCCCTGCTTATCTGGACGTTGGCAGCTGGAGCGGATGCATTCTGGTCTTTTAGTTTCCTTCTTAGGTTTTTTTTTTATTGTCTCTTTTGAATGGTGTGTAAACGTAGCTTATCTCTAGGTGTCTATTGATGGCTGAATAGGGAGCAAACCCCACACTCATTAACACTGGCGATGTTACCTAGTTGGGTCATGAAACATCTGCAAGCAAACAGCCAAGCTCAGAGAGCACCAAGAATTCTGTAATAGCGATAACTAGTCTCAGTGGGGTCTCCCCCCCCTCAAGTGCTAAATAACCTGCTCCTCCCAAAATGCAAATCTATGATGCACTCCTGCTTTCTCCTACCTGGCAAGCAAAGTGTCCACAGGGAGAAGATCAAAAGAGTCAAGATGGTGACCACATCCATGTAAACAACTCTTTCCCCCATTTACGCAATGCATGTGAAAGAGGGGAATTGATGCAATCGCAATAATGCAATTAAGCAAGCCACTTTCTCTAACTTGGAGACCTAACAGGTTAGGACAGCATCTGCCAGAATTCCCAGTGCTGTGGTTGAAATGGAGAAAGTCAGCCCAAGGGGAGGCTTTAAAGCAGGGGTAGTCAACCTTGGCTCTTTTATGACTCGTGGACTTCAACTCCCAGAATTCCTGAGCCAGCTAAGCTGGCTCAGGAATTCTGGGAGTTGAAGTCCACGAGTCATAAAAGAGCCAAGGTTGACTACCCCTGCTTTAAAACATAGTCTCATCTTCTCTTTATTAGCCTTTCCCATCAGGGCCCATTAAATTCTCCTGGGGTTTACTTGGAAGCCAACACCACTCAGCAGAGGGGGGACACATAGCATCCATCCTTTACAGAAGTATCTTCTGTGACTGCTCCACTCCAATAGGAAAAAAAAATTAAGTAGAGGAGAATCTAGGACAGCTTTTCTCAACCTCAGCAACTTTTAAGAAGAGTGGACTTCGACTCCCAGAATTCCTCAGAGGTTGATAAACACTAAAATAGGATAAGAAATCTCGTGATATGGCCTCAAACAAAAGAGCAAGACTGCCAAAATCTTGTATGATTTCAGATCCGGGGGTGGGGGGGTTGGGAACAGAAAGAAAATATCCCTCCCTGATAATAAGAAGGATCAGAAACTTTAAGGACAGCAGACCTGTTGAAGCTTCAACTTTTGTGGCCAGAAAGACGAGGATGAGCTCAGCACCTATTTGCAAATTCCTTTGTCCATTCTAACCTTTCCAGCTGCGTCTTCTTCTCGGCGATTAATGCCTGGAGTTGTTGCTGTTGGGCCTCTCTTTGCTTTGCTATGGACTTCAGTAAGTTACGGGCCCCAATTGCCTGCAAAAGGAGAAGCCTTTATTTTTTTTAAAAAAAAGTAAGTATTTTTGTTTTCATGCAAATCCTTCTAAATAGAGCTAAATAGTTAGGGCTGCTTCACCTCTAAAGACATCTGTGGATCATCCGTTGGTAAGCATCTACAGCAGGGGTGTCAAACTGACAGCCTGCGGGCCGGATGCATCATAGCAAAATCGCGCCCACCCCATTGCCGGCAATGACAAAAAAGTCGTGATACATCGCGACATGTCACGTTGTGAGTTTGACACCCCTGACCTACAGTATATATAGTACAGTGTAGACCTCCTTTAAATGAACTGAGCAGAGAGAAAGAGTTAATATGCCACGCCCCCATGACACAATGAGAATACCTGTCTAGGCCAGTTTTTCTCAATCTTAGCAACTTTTAAGATGTGTGGGCTTCAATTCCCAGAATTCCTCAGCCAGCCGGCGAAATAAAATAAGGAAAACTTCATGTTGGAGGTTTCGTGGAGGTTTCGTGTCTCCCTTCTACGTTGTGGACGCTATTTTAGCATATATTTGAGTGGTAGTTACACATTATGTGACCACCAGGAGGCAGTGTGCTATCTGTTTTTATCCTTATTGGGCCTCATCTGCCTCCTGATGGTCAAATAATGTCTACCAATCATTGATAAGCAATGACACTATACTATGGATGTTGTCCAACTGAATACCACCTTTAACTGACAATTTGCAATTACAGGTAGTCCTCATTTAGTGACCCAATTAGGATGGGCAACTCCATCCTTAAGTGAAATGGCCACTAAATGGGAAATCATGTGACTGCAACTGTGCTTTCCTTTTTCTCACTTGCCTGTAATTTAGAATGCTCACTCTGGCACTGGGGTAATTAGCAAGACGGGAATTAATGTTTGTACTTAATTCATTGAAGAGGAAGGGATTACAAGAGAGTAATCAGGCACACAATAGGGAATACACATCGAAAGCAATATGGTGGTGCCAGAAACTGTGAGCATGCTATGCAAACAGCCCAGAATATTCCCCATTATGTACTTGCTTACTCTTTTTAATCCGTTTCTCTCCAATCTCCCCACTCTGCAAGGGGGTGGGGGAAAGGAAAAACAATAGATTAGGTACAGGACACAGTGGACTAACTGTAATGGTGATTAAGTGACTGAGAGATGCTATACTGTTCGTAAATGCAAGCGATAGTTGTATCTTTTTTAGCACCATTGTAAGCAAGGCAACCATTAAGAAAGGATTACCTGTACACAGTGGCAAAGGACACTGACTACTTCTTGCCCTCTTTAATTTTTATAACTGATTAAAAAGAAAGTAAACCTCTTTTTTTTTTTTAAATGGCAGACACCTTGTTTATCAGTTAATCTCCCAGAGCTATTTTTGAGAAGTAATCCCATTTAGTTCGTGGGGACAAGGGGGGTTACTTCTTGATAATGCTGTAATTTAAGAACATAATTGTACTTTGGAATATATCCTTTTTAATATGGGTTATTCTTATAAAAAAAACCACATAATTCAGCTGTAAAAATTCTAGTCCTTAATCATAATTACCATTTTTTTTAAAGCAAACAACTGGCTCCTTTAAAAAAAAAGTATCTATTTTTAGTTTTAGAATGTTGCTCTTCTAAAGGAGGGCTACACAAACAGCAACAGATCAAATGTCTTTTTAAAAAACTGATACACCAGTTTAAAAACAGAGAATTCATCAAAGGAGTGTTAAAGTAATTAATTAAAATATATTTACGTTTCCTGTTTCTATGCAGGCAGGACATCAAGGCAGCTTAGAAGACTAAAGGGGAAATAAAAAACTAAAGACCTTTTTAAACTCCTAAATCTGAAGCAGGAAGGCTACACCAGGACTGTTCAACCTTGGGAACTTTAAGATCTCTGGACTTCAACTCCCACAATTCTGCATGCTGCTGTCTGGGGAATTCTGGGAATTGAAGTCCACACATCTTAAAGTTCCCAAAGTTGGTAAACACTGGTTTTAGACAAATTAGCTGCAACATATCACAAGCCATATTGAGAGAAATTGAAGTTAGGCAATCTCCATTATAACATCAACACATCAGTTGTCATATAGTAACAATCCCTCCCTACATACTGCCACAGTTGTTAAACATATCACTACAATTGTGAAATGAATCATGTGGTTTTTAAGCAAATTGTGAATCCATGAGTCATTAAGCAAATCCAGCTCTCCCCACTGACATTGTCAGATGCTGACTGGGCAGTCGTGAATGGCAATTACTGGTATATGACCCCGCACGCTTGGGAATAAAATTAGGCACAATTCGCTTAATAATCATTGCAACCATTGTAAATACATGTGCCTGAATTTTGATCATATGACCATGGGGATTCTGTGATAGTTGTTAAGTGTGAGGACTGGTTGCAATGCCTTGGTAAGGCCACACTTGGAATACTGCATCCAGTTTTGGTCAACACGATGTAAACAAGATGCTGAGACTCTAGAAAGAGTACAGAGAAGAGCAACAAAGATGATTAGGGGACTGGAGGCTAAAGCATATAAGGAACGGCTGTTGGAATTGGGTATGTCTAGTCTAATGAAGAGAAGGACGAGGGGGGACATGATAGCAGTGTTCCAATATCTCAGGGGCTGCCACAAAGAAGAGGGAGTCAAGCTATTCTCCAAAGCGCCTGAAGGCAGGACAAGAAGCAATGGATGGAAACTAATCAAGGAGAGAAGCAACCTAGAATTAAGGAGAAACTTCCTGACATTTAAACAATTAACCAGTGGAACAACCTGCCTCCAGAAGCGGTGAATGCTCCAACACTGGAAGTTTTTAAGAAGAGACTGGACAGCCATTTGTCCGAAATGGTATAGGGTTTCCTGCCTGAGCAGGGGGTTGGAAGGTCCCTTCCAACTTTATTATTATTATTATTATTATTATTATTATTATTATTATTATTATTATTATTATTATTATTATTATTATTATTATTATTATTATTATGTTGTTGTTGTTGTTGTTGTTGTTGTTGTTGTTGTTACTTTTTTCAATGCTATATTATAAATTTGAATAATCACTAACCAAATAGTTGTAAACCAAGGACTACCTGTATCCGCTTTTTTACCAGGATCCCAAGACAGTGTACTAAGCACACACTCCTTCAATTTTCCTCTCTCACACTAGCATCCCTATGAGGTAGGGTGGCCAGAGAGAGTGGTTGACTCGATGGGAGCTTCTGGAGCTGGGGGAGAGGGACCAAAATCAGGTCCTTCTTATCCTAAGTCACGGGTGTCAAATTCGACGCATCACGTGACGTGTTGCAACATATTGCGACTTTTTTCACATTGCCGGAGCTGGGGTGGGCGCAGTCTCTGCATGATGCAACGGGTCTATGGATCACCAGTTTGACACCCCTGTCCTAAGTCAAACTACAACTCTTACACCACATCTGGAAGCAGCTATCTTGCTATCAGTGCTTATATTAAAAAATGGAAAAAAGTAACAATAACAATAATAGAGTTGGAAGGGACCTTTGAGGTCTTCTAGTCCAACCCCCTGCTCAGGCAGGAAACCCTATACCATTTCAGACAAATGGTTGTCCAGTCTCTTCTTAAAAACTTCCAGTTTTGGAGCATTCACAGCTTCTGGAGGCTGATTGTTCCACTGATTAATTGTTCTGTCAGGAAATTTCTCCTTAGTTCTAGGTTGCTTCTGTCCTTGATTAGTTTCCATCCATTGCTTCTTATCCTGCCTTCGGGCGCTTTGGAGAATAGCTTGATTCCCTCTTCTTTGTGGCAACCCCTGATATTGGAAGACCGCTATCATGTCACCCCTAGTCCTTCTGTTCATTAAACTAGACATACCCAGTTCCAACAACCGTTCCTTATATATTTTAGCCTTCAGTCCCATGATCATCTTTGTTGCTCTTCTCTGTACTCTTTCTAGAGTCTCAACATCTTTTTTACATCGTGGTGACCAAAACTGGATGCAGTATTCCAAGTGTGGCCTTATCAAGGCATTGTAAAGTGGTATTAACAGTTCACATGATCTTGATTCTATCCCTCTGTTAATGCAGCCTAGCACTGTGTTGGCTTTTTTGGCAGCTGCAGCACACGGCTGGCTCATATTTCAGTGATTGTCTATTAGGACTGCAAGATCCCTCTCACAGTTATTGTTCAAAATTGTAATTGTTCAAAAGTCCTCAAAAACCATGATAGGAGGTTTCAAAGCACACTCATAAAATGTATTCTTCAGCCTGGACCTCCTCCCATAGAATCCTGCCAGCCATAGCTGCCTACCATTATTCCACAAGTATCAGACAGAGAGGCTCTAAGCTGGTCCCTCTGATTTACAGTCTGGCAGGTTTTCATTTTTAATTGTTTTCCCCCATAATATTTTTAAAAGTTAGTCCAAGGCAGAGGCTCAGTTGAGTCCGAAGATATTTAGAATGTCCGCCCATGGATGAGAACACTTTCACTCAAAACATTTTCAACTCTTTCTACTCAAAGACAGAAAGACTTTTTCTGAAGATTGAGAGGGAATGTCCTTCAAATCATATGTGGGAAATATTCCTTTATAATGTTCCTTTACCTTAATCTTCTCATTTTCTGTGGCTTTTGCTAGCTGATCTACAAGTTCAATGAGGTTGCCCACTATTTTTTTAAATTCTGCAATTTCTGTAAAGGAAGAAATCAGTAAAAAGAAAGGGTTTACATCCATTAATATGGCAATTTCTATTATAAATTTTAGAGTGCTAAATTGTCAGAGTGCCTCTGACAATTTGCTCATCCAATAAAACAAGGACTTTTAGAAACACATAAATCTCCACCAATGCCCACAGACACAAATATATTATCCTGCATACAGGCCTACATATCCAAGCACAAACACAGACAGATGTCACAAACAGTCGCTCTGCCTAAGAGGAAATCCTTTAACTTGCTTTTGGAGATCAAGATTAAGATAACTCTCATTTTTGCAGGGCCCACCAGTCACAACAACCTGAACCCCTATCCCTGCCCATAGAAGAAACATCCTTTTCTCACTTAGGGAAAGAGATGTCTGATGGGCAGGCTGCTAGGATCTGCAGAAGTGAGAGCTGAAAGATAGAAAGGGCCTGGTAGCAGTTGATGGGAACATATTCGGTCCTAGTTCCAAATCCAAATGGCTATGACATTCTCAGGTCCCAGAGTTCTTCTCTGTCCTGGTCTAAATGAGTCATTTCTTTTTTTATTTATTTTTATTTTTTAAAACAACAAAACATAACACACATACACACACAGTGTACAGTGGGGCAAAAAAGTATTTAGTCCACCACCAATTGTGCAAGTTCTCCCACTTAAAAAGATGAGAGAGGCCTGTAATTGACATCATAGGTAGACTTCAACTATGAGAGACAAAATGAGAAAACAAATCCAGACAATCACATTGTCTGATTTGGAAAGAATTTATTTGCAAATTATGGTGGAAAATAAGTATTAGGTCAATATCAAAAGTTCATCTCAATACTTTGTTATATATCCTTTGTTGGCAATTGACAGAGGTCAAACGTTTTCTGTAAGTCTTCACAAGGTTGGCACACACTGTTGCTGGTATGTTGGTCCATTCCTCCATGCAGATCTCCTCTAGATAAGTGATGTTTTGGGGCTGTCGCTGGGCAACACGGACTTTCAACTCCCTCCAAAGGTTTTCTATGGGGTTGAGATCTGGAGACTGGCTAGGCCACTCCAGGACCTTGAAATGCTTCTTACGAAGCCACTCCTTCGTTGCCCAGGCGGTGTGTTTGGGATCATTGTCATGCTGAAAGACCCAGCCACGTTCATCTTCAATGCCCTTGCTGATAGAAGGAGGTTTGCACTCAAAATCTCACGATACATGGCCCCATTCATTCTTTCCTGTACACGGATCAGTTGTCCTGGTCCCTTTGCAGAGAAATAGCCCCAAAGCATGATGTTGCCACCCCCATGCTTCACAGTAGGCATGGTGTTCTTTGGATGCAACTCAGCATTCTCTCTCCTCCAAACACGACGAGTTGTGTTTCTACCAAACAGTTCTACTTTGGTTTCATCTGACCATATGACATTCTCCCAATCCTCTTCTGGATCATCCAAATGCTCTCTAGCAAACTTCAGACAGGCCCAGACATGTACTGGCTTAACCAGGGGGACATGTCTGGCACTGCAGGATCTGAGTCCCTGGCGGCGTAGTGTGTTACTGATGGTTGCCTTTGTTACGTTGGTCCCAGCTCTCTGCAGGTCATTCACTAGGTTCCCCCATGTGGTTCTGGGATTTTTGCTCACCGTTCTTGTGATCATTTTGACCCCACGGGGTGAGATCTTGCGTGGAGCCCCAGATTGAGGGAGATTATCAGTGGTTTTGTATGTCTTCCATTTTCTAATTATTGCTCCCACAGTTGATTTCTTATACCAAACTGCTTGCCTATTGCAGATTCAGTCTTCCCAGCCTGGTGCAGCTCTACAATTTTGTTTCTGGTGTCCTTCGACAGCTCTTTGGCCTTCACCATAGTGGAGTTTGGAGTATGACTGTTTGAGGTTGTGGACAGGTGTCTTTTATACTGATAACAAGTTCAAACAGGTGCCATTAATACAGGTAATGAGTGGAGGACAGAGGAGCCTCTTAAAGAAGAAACTTACAGGTCTGTGAGAGCCAGAAATCTTGCTTGTTTGTAGGTGACCAAATACTTATTTTCCACCATAATTTGCAAATAAATTCTTTCCAAATCAGACAATGTGATTGTCTGGATTTGTTTTCTCATTTTGTCTCTCATAGTTGAGGTCGACCTATGATGTCAATTACAGGCCTCTCTCATCTTTTTAAGTGGGAGAACTTGCACAATTGGTGGCGGACTAAATACTTTTTTGCCCCACTGTATATTCCTCCTTTAACAGCAATTTCGTAACGGTAATCTTCTATTATTTACATTTCCCCCCCTTATTCTTCTTTAGATATATTTGTCCTTTTTGTCCCGTTGTTTCTTGTTTGCATTTTTCTTCCTTCATACTATCCTTCATACTAAAGATAATACATATTATTACTATACATTATTATACACACATTTTCCATTTTTGACCTAAATGAGTCATTTCTGCATGGATCAGGCAGAAAGAAAACTAAAACATGTGGCCAGTTATGGCATCTTCCAGATGGGCTAAGCTACAAGTCACTCCACAACCATCCCTTGCTAACCACATCTGTGTGAACCAGGCCTCCAACGTCATCCTGCTATGGAGGGACAGCTCTTTCTACAAGCAGCCAAGAAGACTTACTGTCTACAAACAGTCTGCATTCCTCTTTCAGCTCTGTGGTTTGTTGGGCCACCTCTGGATCCAAAACCCTCAGTTTGTTCAGCTCATCAAAGTGGAGACCCGCCTCCCCTAGGATGTCTTTGGCCATTACGAACTCTTTGCAAGTGGCTGGAGAAAAGAATCAGGTTGGAGAAACATCAAGGTTTTGGTTCCAGAAAGGAGGAAAGAGCAGATCTCTGAAAATCACAACATGAGGATAGTTTTGGAGTTTCTTCCATATTTTGTAAAACTAAATAAGAAACCTTCCTGGAAATAAAAAAACAAGCAATACCTCCAACTCCCTTTTAATCCCATTTTTTTAAAATTACTGTTCATAATATTTACTAATGTAGATGATTATTCACAAGAAAACTTTTCTTTTGCAACCTAGCAAGTGCCGTTTTTCTGGGTTTTCTCAATAAGTCTGGCCACAAAAGCTTATTCCAGAGTAAATGTGCTCAAGACTGCAGCTTGATTTGTGAGGATTGTGATCCTACACAACCGGCAATGAACAAAGTGATGTTGTCATCTATCACCTTATGCCTCTAAATTGTGGCAGGTCCAACATATGTTTACTGCTGAGAAAACCACAAGCTGGACCAATAGGGAATATATTGCGAGACAGTTTTTTTTCCTGGGCTTAAATCCCCTTTTGTTGGGAAGATTGGGGCAAGGGGATACCCCAAACTGATAAATTTTAAAATCTTTAATTATTGTGATGAATGGGGATTGCTATTCCCTTGGGGGGGGGTGTTCCACAGTGTTTCACTATTCATATCCGCAATTTTTCATAAACTGGAGAAAGACAATATCGAAAACTCTTAAAAACGGAGTTCCCTTCATCCCAACACAGAGATGGGGAAAAACGGGGCTCTCATTCCGGAAATACCAGTGCTTACAGCAGTGTTTCTCAACCTTGACAATTTTAAGGCATGTGGACTTCAACTCCCAGAATTCCACAGCCAGCAATGCTGGCTGTGGAATTCTGGGAATTGAAGTCCACATGCCTTAAAATTGTCAAGGTTGAGAAACAGTGGCTTACAGCTTCTCCCCCCCCCCAACCTAGTGTCCTCCAGATGTGACTCCCACAATTCCTAGCCAATTACACCTTGCCCCAAACAATTCTTTGTTTCCAGGAGCCACCCGACGCCATTCTCTACTATCGCTCCCTTGCAGCTGACACCTAATGGCTGCTCCTGAATCTGGAGGTTCCATCTCTAGGACACACAAATAAGCAGCCTCCTCCACCTTTTCTTTCCCACCTTATCCCCCCTTGAAGCCCTCCCTACTTACCTGTAGGGACCCTAAAAGTTTCCCCGGTGCCCCAAGCTCGCCGCCACCTTCAGCTGCCACGGCGACAGAAGAAACAGCAACAGCCGCCGCCGCCGCCTCTGCCCCGCCCACACGGCATATCCCATGCGCTCGAAGGGGGAAGGAGAACGCCGGCTTCGCTTGGCATTCTGGGAAGCGTAGTTCGGCGGGACGAATCCAAAGCGTAGGAAACGGTAGGGGTCGCAAGGAAGCGGAGAGGGCACGAGAGAGATGATGTCGGAGAAGGGCTTTCGATCTATGACCGCAAAGATCCCAGGCAGAACTCATTTATCTATTCAATTTCTACAGCCTCCCATCTCAGCCAGGTGACTCTGGGTGGCTAGCAGTTATAGTATAACAGTAACAGAGTTGCAAGGGACCTTGGAGGTCATCTAGTCCAGCCCCCTGCTCAAGCAGGAAACCCGATACCATTCCAGGCAAGTGGCTGTCCAGTCTCTTTTTAAAAACCTCCAGTGACGGGGGCACCCACAACTTCCGAAGGCAAGCCGTTCCACTGGTTAATTGTTCTCACTGTTAGGAAGTTTCTCCTTAGTTCCAGGTTGCGTCTCTCCTTGATCAGTTTCCATCCATTGTTTCTTGTCCTGCCTGCAGGTGCTTTGGTAAATAAATTGGCCCCCACTTCCTTGTGGCAGCCCGGAGCCAAAACTGGAAAACAGTTAAAACAATTTAAAACAGTACAACAATAGAAACATTCAAAAAATAAATCCACGCAGCAGCCAAAATAGTGAACCAGCTAACAGTAAGGCCAAAAAATGGGGCTCTTAACATATACAGGTGCCCCTGTAAGCACCTGGGTGCCATGGGTGCCAGTCCCATCAATGGAGCCGTTTTCTCAAGCCACAACACACAGAGAGGAAAACATGCATATTACAAAATTCACACAACACAAATAACCTGGTCAATTGAAAACCTAGCAGCTGTAATTGCACAACATGATAAATCTGGTTTGTAGCTTTTGTAGCTTAGCATGTTAAAAGCATGTAAGCCCACTTTGTTTCCTGACCGTGTTGAGTTAATCCAAAAAGGGTTTAATTCAATCAGTAGGTTAAACCTATCGAGTAGAGTTTTGGATAACAAGTCAAGGAATATAAGGCTGGAGTCCTAAGTGAATATTTTCTTAACCCAGGAACAAGCCCCAATCAGTTCAATTTTGAATAGATAAACAGTCACGGGTAAAAAAAAAAAAGTTTTTTTTTTACAGATAAGAAAAGTTGAAATCTTACACATTATTATCTCGATTGGCCTAAGAAAAAATATTGCCATATGTTGTCCAGATGTGTTGATTGGTAATGACAGGAGTCGAAATTCAACCGATACGGATTTTACCGACTTCTTTTAACGAGTAAACGCCTTTGCCATGATTTCCTGCCAGAAAGCGCTCGATAGCTCCGGCTTCAGCACGCGTGCCTGCCTGGATGGCGAAAGACATTCCCGTGGCTTGTCGGGAGATGTAGTCCTGGTGGCCTTCGACAGCGTATATCGGGAATGGACGCCGGCGCGCGGGGCTTGCCGGGAGTTGTAGGCTGAGTTCTCGCGATTTGGGAAGCCTGTTGCTGCAGCCCCAACTTGGAGCTTCTCTCTTTGGCCGGGATTGAGACGCTGAAGGCGCGGCGTGTGGCTCGGAGCCGGTTGAGGTCAGTTCCGCTCCTTTGCCCAGCCGTCGCTCGGGGGTCCCGCGGAGCCATTGGTGGCCTAGTCTGGGAGCAGCGCGGAACGGCTCGGAGGCAGGTAAAGAAAGAGCCAGCGGTTGGCAGGGCGAATCAGGGGTGGGAGGGCCCGTTTGGGGCAGAGACAGGGGAAGTGAAGTTGATTCTGTACTTGGGGACGAGAGGTTTGAGATAAAGCGAGGTAGGCGGGAGTAAGGGCAGGCTGGGTGCAAGAGTTTCCTTTTGATTTATTTGTATAATTTATAGCCCCCCTCCCAACGACTCCCAACCTCTTTTAGCGTCGGTGGATAGGAGTCCGTCACATGCCGTTTTACACAGACTGGAGGTGGGGAAACGCTACACCTGTTGAAAGGCAGCCCAGAGTTCAAACCCAGGGGGGGGGATGATGGTAGGGCCACTTAGTCGTTTTGAATAACATTGAAGAGGGAAATTACTGAATACCTGTTACGTTGGATGTACTGAGCCTTAAAAATGAGATGAAATGAAATATAGGGATTCTTCCCCGGCTCCTGATCCTACGGTAGTAGTATGCTAGCTTTGATACACAGCCCCCAGTGGGCATTCAGAAGCAAGGATGCTCCTTTGCTTGAAAAAAGTTGGGCACCCTTCTATAAATATAGCCAGGATGGTGTCGTGGTTAAAGCATTGGATCAGAACTGGGGAGGTTTGGGTTGAAGTCCAAACGCAACTATGGAAGTGAAAGGGTAGCTCAGCCAGATGTATCTGGTAAGGTTGAGGGAACTCTTTGGGGATTAAAGGAAGGGAGCCATCTGGACAGAAAGTGAGATAGAAATCTAAATACAGATAGTCCTCAAATTATGACAGTAATGGAACCTGCCCATTGCAGTTGTAAATCGGGTCACCCACATGACTGACCTTTTTTGCAGTGGTTGTCATATGGCTGCAGGGGAGCGGGTGACCTTCTGAACTTTGAATCCAGGTCATCAGATCTGTCAGAGCAACTGGTCATAAGTCAAGGACTATTTGTAGTCCAAACCCTAAAACAGGGGTCTTCAAACTTGGCCCTTTTATGACTTGTGGACTTCAGCTCCCAGAATTCCTCAGCCAGCGTGCCTGGCTGAGGAATTTTGGGAGTTGAAGTCCACAAGTCATAAAAGGGCCAAGTTTGAAGACCCCTGCCCTAAAAGAAAAAGCATGAACAGAAAATCAAATTTAAATAGAACAAAAGGAGCCTTGAGCAGGAGCTGTACAAAAGTAATTGGCCCTTTTGAACCCCCCCCCCCCGAACTGAGTCCCAGCACGTACTATATATATTCTTATAGTTTCAGTAGTTATTGGTTTCACCAGGACAGTTTACATTTCCAGATTACCTTGATGCTGAACAACTAATTGGAAATGTTCAGACAGCAGTGTGAATGGTAACCTAAAATTGCTATACAGGAAGTCCACTTAACAACTTGAATTGAGATGACCAACTCGGTCATTGAGCGAAGTAGTTGCTAAGTGAAACATCATGATTTGATGGCCTCACTTCTGCTTTCTTTGGCTTTACAGACCTGTGAAGGTTGTAAACGTGAGGATTGATTGCCAAGTTAATTTTGCCATTAATGCTGTAACTGCAGTTGCTAAATGAGGCAGTCGCTAAATGAAGACTACCTGTAAAAACTGCCAGTTTAAAACAGGACTGGAAAAGTAATTGTTATACCGCTTGTTAAAATATTCCATGAATCTGAAGACAAATTCGTGAGGTATTTTGGTGTGTGTTTTTATATGCAGAATCAAAATCACTAAAGAAGGGGTTGACTTGAGGGCTTCCAGGTGTATTTGGATTACATGGCCCATCTTGCTGAGCCATTGCTGGTGATAGAAATTACCATACAAACATCAGAAGGGCAGCTTGCTAAGGTGCACATTGATGGCTTTTTTTGCAGACATGGAGAACCAAGTTTATTAGTTTCAAAATGGACAATAGGTAGGATTGGTAACTGAATCTTGAAAAATGAGGCCAAATTTCAGCAGTGAGATCTAGAGGAGCTGAAGAACAAGCAAGCTGAGATCATAAACTGCAATTTGGCTCCCATTTGTGCCATGTGGGGCCACAGGAGAAGACAGCTACATCTATAGCGTTTATGGACTGGCAACCAAGAACTGCCCAGAATGCTTAGCCATGACGTATCTTAAGGACTGAAGCATTGGATTTAGATGGGGGAGAGCTGGATTCAAGTCTATCCAAAGGGGCTCAGCCAAAGAAATTATTTACGTCTCTTGCTCAGCTGTCCTGCAACTAGGCCACAGTGGAAGACCTCATCTGTTGCCGGATGAAAATGTAATAAAACATTTAATTCTCTTCCTGGCTGCTCTTCCTTCCTTGTTGAAGCCAAGCTTGGAGTTGCAAAATTATTAAACTATAATTTTTTTTCACCAGAGGCTTGAAGCAGGATTTTTCATGGGAAGGAAAGGCTCCACTGGACAAATGAGCATTTTACTCTGAAAATGACCAGGAGAAAGACTGAGTTTGTGACCTCTGGTGGAGAGGTGGCTCTTTTGTGGGCTGAGCGATGGAAGAAACAAACACTCCTTTGCTACCTTTTAGAATTCTGTCTCACAGGTAGTCCTTGCTTAGCGACAGCCTCGCACGGAGCTATTTGCAGTTAGGATAGTGATGGAAAAAGTAACTTTAGGGCCAATCCTTGCACTGATGATTTTTGCAGGTCTCTAAAGCCAAGGAAAATTCGAATAAAATTGTAAAATCACAATATTTCACTTAGCAACCTCTTCATTTAATGACCAAGTTGCCAGTCCCAATTATCACAAAATGAGGACTACCTTTATTTATCAAATTGAGAAAAGTAGCTTCAGGACAGTCGTTGGATCTTGGCACACTCTGGCATCCTCAGTGTATCAAAATAGGACACAAAATTGGGAAGACCAGTCATAAGTCATTTTTCCTGGTATCGTTGTAACTTCAAATGGACGCTAAATGAATGGTTGTAAGTCGAGGACTACCTGTGAATCCAGGGGGCTCCAATTGTGGATAAAATTTCCAGCACCCTTGGCATGGTCAGTACAGGTAGTTCTCAACTTAGGACCATTCACATTAAGTGAATTTTGCCCCATTTTACAACTTTATTTACCTCAGTTGTTAAGTGAATCACTGCAGTTGATCAGTTAGTAACACAGTTGTTAAGTGAATCTGGCTTCCCCATTGACTTTGCTTCTCAGAAGATCGCAAAAGGTGATCACATGACCCCAGGACACTGCGACTGTCATAAATATGAACCAGTTGCCAAGCATCTGAATTTTGATTACGTGACCAGGGGGATACTACAAAGGTCGTAATTGTGGGGGGGGGGAAGTCACTTTTTTCAGTGCCATTGTAACTTTGAATGGTCACTAAATGAACTGTTGTATGTTAAGGACTAGTGACAAGTGCCACATTCCCATCTCTCCGTCTTTGCAGCTCAAATCCGGTCGTTTTTAATGGCTATTTTTTTTCAGTTTGGTGATCTGCCATGATCTTTCCTGAATGCCATCCAGTTGGCGCTTGAGACAAGCTCAGGCTGGTGCTGTTGGAAACAGAAACTGGTTGTGACGCTGGGTATTTCCAGTTTATTACTTTTTATAAAGGACAATTAAAAAGTTTTTAAAAAAACCAAAGTCCAACGGGGAGGAAGGAAAGGAAATGTTCCTATTGTTTGAGAGAGGCTGAGTCAGTCCCATTGCGTCATCCTTCAGGGCAGGACGGTGTGTGTGTCTGTGTGTGTCCCATTTTCCTGCCACCCCTCTCAAATGCAGTGATTGAGCTCTGGACTTTGGTTTCCTGTCCAGAAGATAGTTTAGGATTGCCTTGGTTGCGGATACGGCTTTAAACAACAGGTACTTTTCTTTTCCTTCATTTCTGAAGATCATTTTTATATTCCAGGTACACTCTTAGATGGATGGACTGGTTAGATTGGGACATCCCATTAAATTTAAGCAAAGATTAATTGCCATTTACAAGGGGAAAAAAGCCCCTTTCTCGTCTTCAATCTGAATGAGAACCTCTCTTGAATGTTTCTTGAAAACAGGAAGTGTGTTTATTTTTTCAAAGCTTCATATCTTTCGTAATTTGTCTGATCAGGGGATCTGTGTGTGATTATATATGTATCTGTCTTCTATTTAAATCTACTTTTTCTATATTCTTCAACCTGGAAGAAAAAGAAGTTGACTCTCTAGTCTATATGATACCATTCAGGTACTGGACTTTGTTAAGATGGTCTGAATGGCTCTTGATATTTTTAAACTAATACTTTCCATAAGATGGAAAAATGTATTTTTATTGGCACTGCCTTAAACTGCATTTATCCTTTTTAGTATGTGATATTGCTGATCTATGTTCAGCTTGTGATCTGTAAATGTCTAAGATCTTTTTCACATAAACTGCTCCCCAGTTGGACTTATTGTATGCTATACAGATAAGTCCTCAACTTACTCCCATAACTGGGTCTGGAATTACGGTCATAAGTCATGACAGTCGTTAAGCAGGACTCCATGTGATCATGCCTGATTTTACCACCTTTTTTGTGAGAGTTGTTAAACCTGTTATAGGTAGGCCTCGACATACAACAGTTCATTTAGTGACCGTTCAAAGTTACAACGGTACTGAAAAAAGTGACTTATGGCTGTTTTTCATACTTAAGACCATTGCAGCATCCAAATCCAGCCGCTTGGCAACTAACTCATATTTACGACAGTGGCAGTGTCCCAGGGTCATGTGATCCCCTTCTGACAAAATCAATGAGGAAAGCAGGTTCACTTAACAGCCATATTACTAACTTAACCACCACAGGGATTCACTTAAGAACTTTGGCAAGAAAGGTCGTAAAATGGAGCAAAACTCACTTAACAAATGTCCTGCTTAGCAACAGAAATTTGGGGCTCAATTATGGTCATAAGTCAAGGACTACCTGTATAAGCAATGGGCGTGTTTGCCGGAAACTGGAAGTAAATGCTGGTTTCTGGAAAAAAAACGGTAAATCATGGTCACGTGACCATGGGATGCTGCATATGGTTGTAAAAGTAGGACAGGTTGCCCAGCATAGAGGGTGTGTGTGTGTCCATCAGAACTTTGAAAGTGGATTGTAAGTTACCTGGAGAAGGCATAACTTCAAACAGTCATAAATTGAGGATGAATTGTTCTTACATTATACCTGTGCATTGACTTTCTTTTTGTTCAGGGAAGAATCCTGCATCGGTTTCCCTCAATTTTCTCTGTGGTTTTCATCCCATTTCGCTAAACAATCCAGATGCCTGTGAATTTTCTTTGTTGGTTTTCTCTTATTAGCTGTCTCGCATTGACTTAGCCCAGGGGTAGGCAACCTTGGCTCTTTTATGACTTGTGGACTTCAACTCCCAGAATTCCTGAGCCAGCCATGCTGAGGAGAAAGGGAGAGGTTTCCAAGCTGAGCCATGGTGGCTCAGGAATTCTGGGAGTTGGAGTCCACGAGTCATAAAAGAGCCAAGGTTGCCTACTCCTGGCTTAGCCTCACCTGCTACTTTGACAGTTTTTCCTTTTGCCTTCATTCACATCATTAATGAAAAAAACATTGAGAGGTTACAGGAAGTCCTTGACTTAAAACAGTTCGTTTAGTGATCGAAGTTACAACAGCACTGGAAAAAAAGCGACTCATGACCATTTTTCACACTTACGACCTTTGCAGCATCCCCATGGTCACATGATCAAAATTTGGGCGCTTGGCAACTGGCATGTATCTATGGAGATTCTCAGTCCGCTCAAGAAGCTGAAGAAGGTTCTTGGATGAGAAGCGAAACGTCTTCAAAGAAAAACGAAGCCCAGTTGCCTTGTGAAAAAGCATCTTTGGGACAACTGACTCGTATTTATGATAGTCGCAGTGTCCCGGGCGTCATGTGATCCTCTTGGGACCTTCTGACAAGCAAAGTCAATGGGGAAGCCAGATCCACACTCGTGTTACTAATTTAACAACTGCAGTGATTCACTTAACAACTGTGGCAAGAAATGGAGCAAAACTCAACAACTTCCTCACTTGCTGCAACAAAAAATTTGGGCTCAGTTGTGATCGTAAGTCAAGGACTACCTGTATCCGACCCAAGACTGAGCCTTAAGTTATCTTACTTGAAGCTTCCCTCCTGTTTGAACTATTTACAAGTGCTATTTGAGAATGATTTTCCAGCCACTTGGCAGTCTGCCATCCGGTTCATACTTAGCTGATTTCAGAATGTTTTAAGATTTGTTCCTGACAAATAATTGTAATAATCATTGCGCTGATTTCAAATGATTCCAGCTCTGGTGCTTTACAGGTAGTCCTCAACTTACAATCGTAATTATAGCTGTAAGTCATAGTGGTCATTAAGCAAGTCACCACATGACCGTGCCCAATTTTACAACCTGTATTGCAGTGGTTGTTAAGTGAACCTGTTTTCTTCAGTGGACTTTTTTTTTTCTTTTTGCTGAAAACTGGAAGTAAATGCCGGAAACCCACAAAAAACCCCCCACCAAAAATAGCAGTCATGTGTTTGTGGGATGCTGCAAATGGCTGTAATTGTGAGCCAGTTGCCGACCACCCAAAATGTGAATTCATGACCATGAGGAGCTGTGTGTGTGGCTATCGGAACTCCAGAATCAGCTTGTAAGTAACTGGGAAAGTCCATCAGAACTTTAAAGGATCACTAAACAACAGGACATTAAGCGAGGACTGCCAGTATAAGCTGCTCAAAAATCCTAAAAAATAATTTCCTGGAAACACTGCTTGATCTGCTCTAAAAGGAACCTGGAGCTCAACCAGGAAGGCTCTGCTCCTAGTTGTTTTCCTGATCTCCTGTGGAGATGGGCCAATGTGTACACCGGGTCTCTGTTATAAAGAATGCTCAGGTTTCAATAATTAGAAATCTCTATTTTTGTAGCAATGCTTCTGATCTCTTCTTACAACATGCTAAGCTATAACATGGCTTCATAGTTTTTGGCAAAGAGGGTTGCAGGATCCAGACAAGATGGCTGATAAAATGGGCTTTGCCTCTGAACGTGTGGTAGGAACTCAGTCCAACCCAATCCAACCCAATCTAGTTTAATGAAGAGAAGGATGAGGGAGGACATGATAGCAGCGTTCCAATATCTCAGGTGCTGTCACAAAGAAGAGGGAGTCAAGCTATTCTCCAAGGCGCCTGAAGACAGGACAAGAAGCAAGGGATGGAAACTAATCAAGGAGAGAAGCAACCTAGAACTAAGGAGAAACTTCCTGACAGTTAGAGCAATTAACCAATGGAACAACCTGCCTCCAGAAGCCGTGAATGCTCCCAACACTGGAAGTTTTAAAGAAGAGACTGGACAGCCATTTGTCCGAAATGGTATAGGATTACCTTCCTGAGCAGGGGGTTGGATTAGATGACCTCCAAGGTCCCTTCCAACGTTGTTGTTGTTGTTGTTGTTGTTATTATTATTATTATTATTATTATTATTATTATTATTATTATTATTATTATTATTATTATTATTTCAGCCGACAACCAGTTAAACAAATCTCTTTTCTGGCTCCTCTGCTTTTAGAGTCTCTCAGCTCTGGGGCTTGCAGCTTCCAAGGAATTCTTGAATCCAGTTGAAGACCCCACAGCTTTCCCCTCCAACCACGGCGGAGTCGGTCAAGCCCACCCACTGCCGTGTTGTCATCTATTTGCAGAAGGAGATGTCCGGCGACACCTGCCTAACAACCCTCTGCCCTGCTTCAGGAGCGAAGCCGAAGAGGTGCAGCTCCAAAGTCGGCACTCTTGGCAATAAGTATGTGCGGCTCAATGTCGGGGGCTCCTTGTATTACACCACCGTGCAGGTGTTGACACACCATGACACCATGCTGAAAGCTATGTTCAGCGGAAGAATGGAGGTGCTCTCCGACAAGCAAGGTGGGTGCTGATAGAAACCTGCAAAGCCGAGTGCCTATAAGCCCGTTCTTCAAAATATCCCACCAGCTCCCTTTCTAATCTGAACTCTATAATCAAGGATAATTTAGCCTTACAAGAAGTCCTCAGCTTGCGACCATTCGTTTAACAACCATTCAAACTTACGACAGTACTGGAAACTTTTGACCCTGGCAGTCGTCTTCTGGTCACATGATCACCAGTTGAGACCTTCCCCAGAGGGCTTCTGACTAGCAAAGTCAGTGGGGCAAGCCAGATTTGTTAACCACAGCAAAATAGTCATAAAATGGGATGTGGCTCACTTAAATGTCCACAATACAGTGACTGAAGTTTTGCTCCCACTTGTGGTCATAAGTTGAGGACTGCCTATACTCACCTGCAGGGGAATGTTTGCATTGGATAAATATGGGCTTCGGTGTCAGCCAGAAGGAAGGTAGTTGGGCCTTTCTCAAATATTTATTGAAATCCACACCTCTTCCAGGTGCTGAGGTAGAGAAATACTGGGTTAAGGCATCAGGCTAGAAACAAGGAGATCATGAATTCTAGTCCTGCCCTAGGCACAAAGCCAATCAGGGGAGCTTGGGCCAGTCACTTTCTCTCTGCCCTAGGAAGGAGACAGTGGCAAGCCACTTCTGAAAGACTTTGCCAAGAATGCTGTGGGGACTTGTTCAGGCAGTCTTTTAGAATTGGACACAACTGAACAGGAAAACAAAGTCATATATAAGGGCTGCAACTGAGATATGTCTTCCTCAGTAGATGTTTTTATGGACAGGTGTTAAATCGACATGATTGAGAGGTTCCGAGTGGTTATAAAAACAGACTTTGCACATTAGGCAGGTTTGACTCGCTGCTTTCTGAGAAGTTTTGCACTCAGGACCCCAGTCCTGCCTTGTGTCCATTTGTTTTAGAAAAGCAAGCATAATTAGAGCGGGGTGGTAAACTTGACTAGTTTAACCCTCTGTCACTTACTTTAGTTGCAAGATAAAATGAAAATATTCATGCTTTACGGTTTTGCATTTTTGCCAACGTGTCTCTGGCTGCTCTTGTAAAATATTCTATTGGGAAACAGGATCAGTTATGTTCGTGGATCAACTCTGGCGGGAGCAGGATGGGCTGATGCATCCATTTTGATCTCCCAGCACAGGCATTCCTCTGTACTGGTTCCAAAGGTTGGGAATGGGAGATACACCTTTGTGTTGGTTCTCCTCTTTCTTGGAGTTCTAGTTGGCGTTGGGACAGGTAGTCCTCCGCTTACAATCACAATTGAATCCAAAATTTCTGTTGCTAAGTAAGATATTGAGTTTTGCCCAATTTTTTGATGACCTTTCATGCCACAGTCAAGGACTACCTGTAAATCTAATTAATTAAAGTTATAATTGGCCTCTTCTGAGATTTGTTCGGAATTACCACCCAAGACTAGGCAAGTTTTCATACTCTTGCGAGTCTTCCTGGTGGAAAACAAAGCTCTGCGGGGTGATAGTCTTATATATTTTTCCACCTTTGCTTTGCTTAAAACCCGAGGTCTCCTGTTTCTTTCCCAGGCTGGATCCTGATCGACCGCTGTGGGAAGCATTTTGGAACCGTCTTAAATTACCTTCGGGACAACACGGTCACTCTACCCAAGAACCGGCAGGAGATCAAGGAGCTGATGGCCGAAGCCAAATATTACCTCATCCAGGGCTTGGTGGACCTCTGTCAAGCTGCCTTGCAGGTAAGAGAGCTGCACACGGGGAACGGTAAAAGCTCAGAGAAGGAAGGGACCCTGCAGGTCATCCAGCTCAACCCTTTTGCCCAAGGCAAGAATCCTACTCGAAAAAGGTCCTTGATAGGTGACTAGTGTATATTTAAAGTTCTTTGGGTAAGGATAGACTGAAGTCTCCCATATAGATCAGACATGTCAAACACAAGGCCTGGGGGCCGGATGCGGCCCGCGAAGTGGTTTCATGTGGCCCGTGAAGCCATCCTGGAAACAGTGAGGGAACGGCCCCCTCTGCCTTGGCCCTGCCTCAGGTTGGCCGGGAGCCAGTGTACCATTTTGTGGTGGCCATCTTGGCACTTGCCCAGGTGGACCATGCCTTGGCACTTGCCCCGGTCTCACCCACTTCTGCCAGAGACCCTCAGATCTGTCCAACTCCTGCCCAGGCCCCCCATAGGCACTCTTGACGCGAATCATGTAGAACTGGCCACACCCACCCGGTAGGCCACACCCACTCCATCCACGCCCACCCAGTAGGCTGCACCCACTCTGGCCACACACCCCCGCCCCCCCAGGGCAACTGCAATGCTGATGCGGCTCTCAGTGAAATTGAGTTTGATACCCCTGATGTAGATTATTATTCTAGAGGGGGGGCTTGTGTGTCATCCCCCCCCCACCCAGTCTGAATTTGAGGGCTTCAAACCTCCCTCCCCCTCGAATGGACTACAAAACTTTCAGGCGTTCTGTTCTTGTGTTTTCAATCTTTAAAGCAGTGATGGCAAACCTTTTAGAGACCCAGTGCCCAAACTGCAACCCAAAACCCACTTATGTCAACGCTGCACCAGGTGCCGGGTGGGCGTGGCCGCGGTGGTCATGGCAGACTGGGTGGGCGGGACCAGGGTGGTGGGGGTCAGTTGCTCATCATCTCTGGGGCATGGCACGAGTGCCCCCAGAGAGGGCTCTGAGTGCCGCCTCTGGCACGCGTGCCATAGGTTCGCCACCACTGCTTTAAAGCCTTCACTCTCTTAAAACTCTGAAGAAGTTCCTCAGATATTTGTTGGGGCCATTGTCACACCTTCTTTGAAAAGTGTGTGTGTATGTGGGGGGGAAATTAATCAAAATTATCTGCAAGGCTTAAGACATAAATTATGTCCTCCCAATAGCCTCCTCTCAACACCTTGGCAAAAAAGAAAACGGAAAAGCCAGATGTGCTTTCTAACTTAAATCTTCATTTCTGCTGTTCAGAACAATGGGATTCCAGAGGCAGTGGCAGTCTACCCTGCTTTAATCTGTCCGGATGTGTGCAATTCTGTTTGCAGGACAAGAAAGAGACCTACTATCCTCTCTGCAATATCCCTGTCATCACGTCTCCAAAAGAGGAAGAGAGACTCATTGAATCCACCATGAAGGTATTGGGGGGGGGGGAGGAAACGAGGAGAGAATGAGCAGACGAAAAGGGCCGATCCACACGTTACACTAAAGTAGAAGGTTCAGCATATGGGCTGCCCTTTTTTGTCTGAATACAGGTAGTCCTTGACTTAACAACCATTCTTGTAGTGACTGTTTGAAGTCACAATGGCACTGAAAAAAGTGACTTACATCCAGTCCTCGCACTTATGAATGTCACAGCAGCCCCGCCCAGTCATGGGATGGAAATTCAGGCACCAGCATTGTATTTATGACAATTGCAGCGTCCCGGGATCATGTGATTGCCCTTTGCGACCTTCCCAGCCAATTTCCAGCAAACCAAGTCACAGAGGGAAACTGTATTTGTTTAATGACCGTGTGATTCACTTAACTGCAATGCTTCACTTAACAACCATGGCAGAAAGCTGATAAAATTGGGGGCAACTCACTCAACCACCACCTTGTTTAACAGTGGAAAGTCTGGTCCAGTTGTGGTCATAAGTTGAGGGCTATATCTATCTATCTATCTATCTATCATTTACCTACCTACCTACCTACCTACCTACCTACCTATCTATCTATCTATCTATCTATCTATCTATCTATCTATCTATCTATCTATCTATCTATCTATCTATCATCTATCTTTAAAAAGCAAAATTTGCTTAACTGCAATGATTCACTTAAGAACCATGACAAAAAAAGGTTGTAAAATCACTTAACAACTGCCTTGTTAAAATTTTGCTTCTAATTGTGGTTGTAAGTTGTGGGCTACCTGGAGATTTATTAGGATTGCTTGACACAAGACGTCACTTAAAGCAGAATTTCAACCTTTCAGAAACCCCAAAACCTCTTAACACAAGGATCTTGACCTCCAGCTTGGCGTGGTCCTCGATCTAACGGAGAGTAAGCACTGCCTGCCCTAAGCCAGAATCACACCAAACCTGATTTGGCGCCACGTGTGAAGCCAGCCAAAGTCTCGGCTACCTAGTCTGTCTTATCAGTGGCTGGGAATTTGAACTTTGACATGGCTCCTTAAGAATGAGGAAGAAGAAATAAAGGAGGCTCCATTAAGCTTTTAAATATCAACATTTTTCATGCAATTGAACACCTTCTAGAGTTGATATAAGCACCTGAAGAAGGAACGTTGTGGTTTACCCTTTTCAGCTCAAGGTTTTCAAGTTTATGGCAGATAAAACCACTTTTATTATTTTTGGACTCTGCTGTTTGGCAAGTCATAAATGTGGCGGAATTTGTTGGAGGTGGATAGAATTAATGATGCAAACTAGACTGGGTTCCTCATTGTTCCTCTTCCCTTTCTGCTCCAATTAAGATTCCCCAATATAGGAAATATCTTCCTTCCTTCCTTCAGTTCATTCTTTAGTTCATTCTTTCTTTCATTCATTCATTCAAGAAAATTTACATGCTCCTCCAACTCACTCTCAGTGACTCTGGACAGTTTGCAAGGATAAAGTATATCGTTATATTGTTTATTTGGAGCTGCTCCAGGAACATCCCCGTGAAGGGCAAAAAAGTCAAGATGGCATCTATGCCTTTGTCCCCTCCCTCCGCAGAAGCCACAGAGCTGTTCTACAGCACTTAAAAAAATAATAATAATAAATTCCCAGCGAGGAAAGCTGTACAGACTTTTGAGTCTCATCTATGTCAAATGGCCCCCTAAAGGAGTTTAATATGCTTTTAAAAGAATTAGGTGGTTAAACTTTTTCTGACTGAATAGTCCTCAATTATACCACTAAAACGGACCCGCCGTTTACAGTCCTATGCTGTGATGTTGTAAGTCACATGACCGACCTGATTTTGCAACCTTTCATGCAGTGGTTGTAAAAGGAATGCTGTGGTTGTTAAACCAACCCATTGTTTGCTATAGCCTGGTGTTGCTGAAAACCGGAAGTAACTTTGTTTTTCAAGCAAAAATGTCGTAAGCCACGGTCACTATGGGACGCTGCAAACAGCTGTAAACGCAGCCATGTTGCTGAGCGCCCAGAAGTTCAGAACTGGGTCATAACTCCGTCTTTTCCGGTAGGTCATAACTCAAGGACTACCCGTAGTTCAGATGGGCCATGCTTGAATGGTCCTGTTTGATGTTGAAGACCAAATTTTGGATAGATCTTCCTTTATGAAATAGAAGCCACGAAAAAGAATTCCAGTTTCCAGCTCTCTTTTTTGTCTTCTGTCCCCCCACTCCCCCCATTCCTGATCAGATGGTTTCCCATCTCCCTGAGTTGCATAAGTGTCCTGGCCCAAAAGGAAAGTTCAGAATTGCTTTCTTGGAATGAGGCCAAGGTCCATGCATGTCTTGGGAATCTGCATTCTCCATCAGTGTTGGAGGACTGTTTTCCCATCCTCTGACCATTAATGTTAATAATAAAGTCGAAAGGGACCTTGGAGGCCATCTGGTCCAACCCCCTGCTCAGGGAGGAAACCCTATACCAGGGGTAGGCAACCTTGGCTCTTTTATGACTCGTGGACTTCAACTCCCAGAATTCCTGAGCCAGCCATGCTGAGGGGAAAGGGAAAGGTTTCCAAGCTGAGCCATGCTGGTTCAGGAATTCTGGGAGTTGAAGTCCACGAGTCATAAAAGAGCCAAGGTTGCCTACCCCTGCCCTATACCATTTCAGACAAATGGCTGTCCAGGCTCTTCTTGAAACCTTCCAGTGTTGGAGCATTCACCGCTTCTGGAGGCAGGTTGTTCCACTAGTTAATTGTTCTAACTGTCAGGAAGTTTCTCCTTAGTTCTAGGTTGCTTCTCTCTTTGGATAGTTTCCACCCGTTGCTTCTTGTCCTGCCTTCAGGTGCTTTGGAGAATAGCTTGACTCCCTCTTCTTTGTGGCAGTCCCTGAGATATTGGAACGCTGCTATCATGTCCCCCCTCGTCCTTCTCTTCATTAAACTAGGCATACCCAATTCCAGCAACCGTTCCTTATATGCTTTAGCCTCCAGTCCCCTAATCATCTTTGTTGCTCTTCTCTGTACTCTTTCTAGAGTCTCAGCATCTTTTTTACATCGTGGTGACCAAAACTGGATGCAGTATTCCAAGTGTGGCCTTACCAAGGCATTGTAGAGTGGTATTAATACTTCGCATGATCTTGATTCTATCCCTCTGTTAATGCAGCCTAGCACTGTGTTGGCTTTTTTGGCAGCTGCAGCACACGGCTGGCTCCTATTTAAGTGATTGTCCACTAGGACAATTGACCAGGCTAATCTCAGGGTCATCTGAAAAGGAGCAGGTTTCCCTCCCTTTGTCTGCCGGGGTGTAAGCAGATGAAGCTACCAGCAAATTTGTCTCTGGCTTCCAGAAATAGACTGCCAGAGTTATAACCATTCATTTAGTGACCGCTCGAACTTACAACAGCACTGAAAAAAGTGACTGAGGACCATTTTTCACACTTACAACCTTTGCAGCCTCCCCATGGTCACATGATCAAAATTCAGATGCTTGGCAAGTGGCATGTATTTAAAACAGCTGCAGTGTCGTCGGGTCACGTGATCGTTCTCCCAGCTGGCTTTTGGCAAGCAAAGTCAATGAGGGGAGCTAGATTCACTTAATGACCCCGTGACTCACTTAACAGCTGCAGTGATTTGCTTAACTCATGGCAAGAAGGTCAGACAATGAAGCGGCACTCAATCACTTTGCTTAATAACAGAAGTTCTGATCTCAGCTGTGGTCGTAAATCGAGGATGACCCTTAACTGGGAATCTGAAGGCCTGGCAAGATTTCCTCCAAGGCTTGTTTTTTTCCTCCTTGCCTGTGCAAAGCACTTGAGTCAGGAATGGGGGTTTCGGGTTTCCATGATGACCTGGGGATGTTGAGTACTTCCGTTTCCAGAGCATTGTGGGATCTACCGCAATGAGTCTCCACAAGCTGCTGATGACACCTAGCGGCACAAAGTTTGATATTCTCTCTTCTGCCTGCATTGATGCCCCTTTTCTCTCCCTTTTTTTTCAGCCAGTGGTGAAGCTCCTTTATAACCGAAGTAACAACAAATACTCCTATACAAGGTAAATGTCATGGTTCCAAAAGATGAAACTCTTCAAAGAACTTTGAGGCATTGTTTACCTTAAAGAATCTTTACTCGAGTAGCTTAGCTTTGGCACATACATAATTGAAGCCAAAATCTGGCTTCCCCTCCCTTCAGCACATAGATCAAAGCACAATTCCCTCCTACAACTAACAGTCATAAATCACATTCTCCAATTAGTTTGAAATGCTGGCTTTCCGCCCAATTCTTTTATCCCGCCATTCCTTATCAGCTCTTATTACAATATTGTATGTCTAACTGACTCTCATTACATTCCTCCCCCTCCCCTCAGTATCATCTAATTCTAAGAGTAAAACAACAGGAAAAAAAGGCGGCATCTCCATCATTGTCAAAGCAAGACATCCAATGTTAGCAGCGTTGACAGTAAACACCTCTCTTCTCTGTGCTAATGTGAAACTTAAAAGACAGAGCTTGGAATGCTGGCTGTGGGATGGTCCAGTCCACCCTTCTGTTCCTGCAGGGATCCACCAGTTGAATCTAGGAAGACCCCAAACAGACCTAAAAGCTTTGTAACACTATGCAGATATACCGAAAGATAATATATTCCTTATATGTGTTTGAATAGACCCACGTTGGGAATATGTGAACCCACCAATCTCTTGCATAGTTATAATTCAGAACGAAAACGTTTGAAGATCTGGGACTGCTCCTCCAGAATTTGCCACTATGCTGTATTTTTAAAGAAGGGACAATTCTTAAATCTGTAGAAAATCCTATTCATTATAATTATTTTGGTTTTTCACGTTTGCTGGAAATTTACGTAGTCTTTATGCCTGTTCGGTCTACTGTGTGGAATGCACAACAAAGCTTGTTGCTTAATTAATATCCTTCAGCCAGAAGAAAATAGCAGGTTCCTGGTTTAATTTCTCACTGCTTAATTTCTCATTCTTTATGATTAAGTTATCCAGACCTGGCTCTTTCCCCTCCCCCAAGCATTAAAACCCAGTTGAGTTGGTGGTCCCTGCTGTGGTGGTTTTGGTGTCTTGTGTCTGGTTGCCATTTTACAAATATATGTATTTTTCTATATATATATATTATATATTTTCTTTATATATGTGTTTTTGTGTGTGTCTATATGCATATGTTAATAATAATAATGTTGGAAGGGACCTTGGAGGTCATCTAGTCCAACCCCCTGTTCAGGTAGGAAACCCTATACCATTTCAGACAAACGGCTGTCCAGTCCCTTCTTAAAAACTTCCAGTGTTGGAGCATTCACCGCTTCTGGAGGCAGGTTGTTCCACTGGTTAATTGTTCTGTCAGGAAGTTTCTCCTTAGTTCTAGGTTGCTTCTCTCCTTGATTAGTTTCCATCCGTTGCTTCTTGTCCTGCCTTCAGGCGCTTTGGAGAATAGCTTGACTCCCTCTTCTTTGTGTATACACACACACACACACACACACACACACACACACACGGTATATAATACATTAAAAATAGTCTTCATTTATAATTGGTCTCTTAGCAACTGTTCATAGTTACAATGGATGTAAGAAAAGGTACGTATGACCCGGTTCTGGAATTCCAACAGCCACCGCACCCGTTACATGTCTGCATTTGGGGGTGTTCAGCAACCAGCCCGACTTTACTGCCATTTGCAACCTCCTACGGTCACATGACCATGATTTCTGATGTTTTTGCTGGAGTCTGGCATTTACTTCCAGTTTTGAGCCAAACCTACCCATAGCGAACATAAGAGAACAGCCATGGCAGTTGCTTAACAACTGCCGCAAAAAAAGGCTTGCAAAATTGGGTGTGGTCACGTGGTTACCTTGGGTTTACAACCAGTATGACTTACAACCATAATTACAGGCTCAGTCATAAGTTGAGGACACGACCTGTTACATGCATTGGATGCAACATGTATTGCAAATAGATATAATTTACAATATATAAAATATAAAGTGTACATTTTAAAAGTAAAATAAATTTTGCATTTTGTAAGTCAAAAGGACGTCTGGGGGAGAACAGGAATTTATCAGATTCAGCCCCCTTAGCAGTCAGTTATTAAACAAAAAAGTCCTCTTACTATAGCAAAGCAATTGTACTCAGAGTCTTCAATCAGAACTTGGCAAATTAATCCTAGGCACAGATCCTAGACGCTTTAAGATATAGTCAATCTTTCAAAGCAGCAGTCAAGATTACTTTGCCACTGACTAACATTTAAAAGTATTCATTTGTGTGGCTTATCTACCTGTCCATGACAATTCTCTGGTCAAAGTACAAGGTAAAAAGTTATGAATTATGGTAGCAGCCGTAAAAAATGCAGCTACCGCTGTTTAAAGTAAATAACAAGATTGCTGCAGTAGCCATGAGAAATTAGACCTAAGGATTAACTGGTGTTTGAACACAATTTCCCCTGTTTTGTAATCCATCTGTGTACTGTGGCACTAAATTCCAGGTAGTCCTGGACTTACGATCATTCATACATTACGTGAAGTATTAATACCACTTTACAATGCCTTGGTAAGGCCACACTTGGAATATCGCATCCAGTTTTGGTCAGCACGATGTAAAAAAGATGTTGAGACTCTAGAAAGAGTACAGAGAAGAGCAACAAAGATGATTAGGGGACTGGAGGCTAAAACATATAAGGAACGGCTGCTGGAATTGGGTATGTCTAGTTTAATGAAGAGAAGGACGAGGGGGGACATGATAGCAGTGTTCCAATATCTCAGGGGCTGCCACAAAGAAGAGGGAGTCAAGCTATTCTCCAAAGCGCCTGAAGGCAGGACAAGAAGCAACGGATGGAAACTAATCAAAGAGAGAAGCAACTTAGAACTAAGGAGAAACTTCCTGACAGTTAGAACAATTAACCAGTGGAACAACCTGCCTCCAGAAGTGGTGAATGCTCCAACACTGGAAGTCTTTAAGAAGAGATTGGGCAAGCATTTGTCTGAAATGGTATTGGGTTTCCTGCCTGAGCAGGGGGTTGGACTAGATGACCTCCAAGGTCCCTTCCATCATCACCATCATCATCATCATTATTATATCCAAAGGAGCCGTCTCTTCCTCTGCAGGCAGAAACGTTCAGCCAACAGCTACTTGTGTGAACATTTTCCTGGCTCTTTTTGTCATTATTGTCTTACTCACCAGAAAGCCCATTTTTTTCACCCTGATCTGGTGGGTACATTTGGAATGCTTAAAATGTGGGGAATTTGCTCCAAGGTAAACTGCTGGGATACCACCCCCCATCCCAAAATCCACACTCCCCCAAATCTTTTTTCTTTTTCCTTTTGGGTCAGGAGTATGTTTCCTGATGCAGCCCCTGCCGTTTTTATTTCCCAGGAATAACAATGGAGCCAGAGGCTGGAGTTCTTTTATGCCAACCTCTGAGTAGATTCTTTTAGTTTGTCTACAGGGTAGTCCTCGATTTAAGAACACAAATGAGTCCTGAATTTCCAAAGCTAAGCAAAACAGTTGTGAGTTGTGCCCCATTCTGGTCTGTTCTTTTCTGCCCAATGCCACAGTTGCCACAGCAATAGAAGCAAAGGCGAAGCTCGATCACCAGCTGGGTGAAGGCAGTCTGTCTGCTGCCACACTTAGCACGTGAGGACCTCTGCGTTCCTCGGCTTACGACCATTCGTTTAGTGACGCTTCAAAGTTCAGCAGCACCAAAAAAAAGGGACTTACGGCCATTTTTCATACTTACAACTTGCAGCATCCCCAAGGTCACGTGATCAGAATTTGGACGCTTGATAGACGGTTCATATTTAGGACGGTTGCGGTGTTCCGGGGTCATGTGATCACTTTTTGCGATGCTCTGACCAGCAAAGTCAATGGAGGAAGCCAGATCCACTCAACAACTGTTTTACTAACTTAACAGCTGCAGTGACTCACTTAACAACTGTGGCAAGAAAAGTCGCAAAATGGGGCAAAACTCAACTGTCTTGCCAAGCAACAGAAATTTGGGGCTCAGTTGTGGTTGTAAGTCAAGGACCACCTGGATGTCCAGATGTTTCTGCTTGCACAGCAAAGCTGCTGGAGCTAAGAAGGAGCCACACATCCCTTGACACAATGTTTTTGGTGCTGGAGGATAGCAGAGATATGGAATCTTTCCAACCTCCCAGAGCTCAGAGTCACTTTTGATGGCAAGTAGGGCAGTGTAAGAATAGAATAATAGAACAGAACAGAACAGAACAGAACAGAATAGAATAGAATAGAATAGAATAGAATAAGTAATACAGAATAGAATAGAATAGAATAGAATAGAATAGAATAGAATAGAATAGAATAGAATAGAATAATACAGAATAGAATTAGAATAGAATAGAATAGAATAGTATAGAATAGAATAGAATAATACAGAATAGAATTAGAATAGAATAGAATAGAATAGAATAGAATAATACAGAATAGAATTAGAATAGAATAGAATAGAATAGTTGGAAGGGACCTTGGAGGTCTTCTAGTCCAACCCACTGCTTAAGCAGGAGACCCTATATTATTTCAGACAAATGTTGTCCAATCTGTTCTTGAAAACCTCCAGTATTGGAGCATTCACAACTTCTAGTGGCCAGTTGTTCCACTGACTAATTTTTCTAACTGTCAGGAAATTTCTCCTTAGTTCCAGGTTGCTTCTCACCTTGATTAGTTTCCATCCATTGCATCTTGTCCTGCCCACAGGTGCTTTGGAGATTAGGTTGACCCCCCCCTCTTTTTTGTTTAATAAATAAAGCCAGTGTTGCTGCTTTTTTTTTCCCCTCCAGCAACTCAGATGACAATCTCCTGAAGAACATTGAACTCTTTGACAAGCTGTCGCTCCGATTCAACAGGAGGGTTCTTTTCATCAAGGACGTCATCGGAGACGAGATCTGCTGCTGGAGTTTCTTCGGACAGGGGCGGAAACTGGCCGAGGTCTGCTGCACCTCCATTGTTTATGCCACGGAAAAGAAGCAAACGAAGGTATTGGCGATTCTGGGCACTGGGATGGAGATCAGGGCTGACAGTCCTCTGTGAATTGTCTTAGGTCTAATAGATAGATAACCTTTATTGCCATTTTTTACTGTGGGCACACTGGCACATATTAAAAATGAAATTCTGTTGCCTGCACCTGAAGGCAGGACAAGAAGCAACGGATGAAAACTAATCAAGGAGAGAACCAGCCTAGAACTAAGGAGAAATTTCCTGACAGTTAGAACAATTAATCAGTGGAACAACCTGCCTCCAGAAGCTGTGAAAGAAGAGACTGGACAGCCATTTGTCTGAAATGATATAGGGTTTCCTGCCTGAGCAGGGGGTTGGACTCGATGACCTCCAAGGTCCCTTCCAACTATTAGTAGTAGTAGTAGTACACCTACATAACACACATATAGACATGCTATATACATATGTATATACCTACACCCTTACATATATATATTAATCACTGTCCATTTTGAAAATAAGACCTTGTCTTATATTAATTTTTGCTCCAAAAGCCGCATTACGGCTTATTTTCCGCTTAGGTCTTATTTTCAGGGAAATACGGTAGCGTAAAGAGGAAGCTTGAGAGTTCACAAGGCTGAATACTGGAGATACCTGCCGTTGTGGGGATGGGAGGGGGAGGGATGTTCCTCTCCCAGGCAGATTAGACAGAAAACGTGACCAGATGAGCTAATTTTACTTTATTGTAAGTCTCCCTTAACAGAACCTTGGAAGTCAGAAAGTACAATTCTCCCACTGCCTTTTTTATGGTTTGAGAAGTTAAGGGGGTTCCTTTTTGAATTTGTTTTTCTGCCTGTTATTTTTTTTTATAACATTAATTTTCCAATTTTACACTTGAGTATTTAAAAAGCAACGTGGTGACTGGGTTAATAATTCAATAGCAAAATCCTTAGTGCAAATCTTAGGTTACAACATTAGATATTTCTTCTCTTTTTCCCTTAACATTTACTATCTCGTATTCAAACTAGTACATTTCTAACTATATCAACTCAATAAAGACATCATTATTACATTTATCAATACATTTTTGGCTTATACATATCTTAATTACATTCATTTCTGCCTGTTATGAAGCTCCTTCCCTCCTTCCTGTATCTGAGAGTTCCCCAGGCAGCCTTTCTTCCAGTCATATCCCAAGGCCGTTCCTTACATATCATTAAGGGAAGCATCTTCCAAAAGTTGGAAAAGTCTTGTGCAGGTAGTCCTCGGCTTACGACCACAATTGAGCCCACAATTTCTGTCGCTAAGCGAGACAGTTGTGAAGCAACTTGATGTCATGGGCTGCTGTATTTGGTGTGGCAAAAAAAAAACAACCTCGTGCAGATAGTCCTCGACTTAACGACCACAATTGAGTCGAAAAGTTCTTTGCTGAGTGAGACATTTGTTAAGTGAATTTTCCCCATTTTTACAACCTTTCCTGCCACAGAAAGTGAATCACAGGCAATCGCTGCAGTGGTTAAGTTAGTAACACAACTAGTTGTTAAGGGAATCTCACTTTCCCATTGGTTTTGCATGTCGGAAGGTCGCAAAAGGTGATCACGTGATCTTGGGACACTGCAAGTGTGTCATAAATATGAACCAGTTGCCAAGCGTCCGAATTTTGATCATATGACCGTGGGGATGCTGCAATGGTCTTAAGTGTGAAAAACGGTCCTAAGTCACTTTTTTCAGTGCCGTTGTAAGTTCAAACAGTCCCTAAACAAATGGTTGTAAGTCAAGGACTGCCTGTACTGCCTCCTCTCCCAAGTGGCTGCAGCCTACTTGTGAAATGGCTACCGCGGTGAGCCAGTTAAAATAGCCATTTTGGAGTGGTGGGACTGAAAATAAATCACTGACCCTTGTAATTGATTTATCGATTAACTCAGCCGCCATGTTGCTTTTTAAATATTTAAATGTAAAACTAGAAAATCAATAAAATTTTCTTTAAAAAAAAAAATCACTGACCCTAAAATCTTAGGACAGAATCTATCTCAGTTACTCTTCCAATGTGCTTTTTTACTGCTCCAGTATCCATGTCACAGGAGGGATGGTCAGGCTTTATCTGAGACGTGCGTTGGAGTGTTTGGCAGGAGGCTTGACCCAGTTGGATGGGAATCCACCAGGAAATTTAACTTTACTTGGAGTTGGCTGGCCGCCCGTTTAGATAGATTGAAAGGAGACTGGGCAGATTCTTGGAGAATGTGGCCTACCGGTTGTAGCTGTTGTTGGTTGCGGTTGAATGCGTCCTAAATTTTGCAGAGAGCAGATCTTAAACCCAGATATTGGAGACAGTATCCTGCTTTCCATTTCTGACTCACACAGACAGTTGCTATGGTACCTCTCAGTTTATTCGAGGCCAAAATATAATAGCATGCAAACTTAAAAAAAAAAACACTCTCAGATGCTTACCTGAATGAACTGCTTTCAAATAGGAGCAAGGAGAATAGTCAGTCCAAGGTTCAGGTGACCCAGGTTGTCGGCCAGTTCATAGGTCAGAGATTCAAGGTTTCTTACAGGAACAGGCATGTCACACAAGGGCTTGGAGATCAGATGTTGCTTCCAATAAAGGGAACATGGGTCAAAGCTGCTTGTTAAGTCAGGCTGCAGCCAGCTGTTATGCATTAAGAAATTTGCTCCTTTCCTTGGCAAGGAGCCCTAATAGAATGATACTGCAGTATTCTTCTCTCTACTTGCTGGGTGCGTGTCAGCCCTCCAGATAAATCAGAGAGGAAACCAGACTAGATGAAGCAATTCTACTTTATTGTACGGCTGCATTAACTACAAAGTGCATCCAGTTTTGCTCACCACGATGTAAAAAAGACGCTGAGACTCTAGAAAGAGTACAGAGAAGAGCAACAAAGATGATTAGGGGGCTGGAGGCTAAAGCATATAAGGAACGGCTGCTGGAATTGGGTATGTCTAGTTTAACGAAGAGAAGGACGAGTGGGGACATGATAGCAGTGGTCCAATATCTCAGGGGCTGCCACAAAGAAGAGGGAGTCAAGCTATTCTCCAAAGCGCCTGAAGGCAGGACAAGAAGCAACGTGTGGAAACTAATCAAGGAGAGAAGCAACCTAGAACTAAGGAGAAACTTCCTGACAGTGAGGACAATTAATCAGTGGAACAACCTGCCTCCAGAAGCGGTGAATGCTCCAACACTGGAAGTTTTTAAGAAGAGACTGGACAGTCATTTGTCCAAAATGGTATACAGTTTCCTGCCTGAGCAGGGGGTTGGACTCGATGACCTCCAAGGTCCCTTCCAACTTTATTATTATTAAATCACTCCTAGCTTCAACAACAGAAACTCAGATCACATAATCAAGGCATAACCATTCAATCTGAGCCCCAACTTGGCAATGCAATGTATCTAATGCCACAGAAAGAACCTGGAGAAGTTTCTTTTTTATTATTATTATTATTATTATTATTATTAGTAGTAGTAGTAGTAGTAGTAGTAGTAGTAGTAGTAGTAGTTTTTCTCTCTCCCTTTAAGTCCCTGCCTCTCTTGTCTGATTGTTTCCTAAGTAGCGATTTTTCCACATTTTCCCAAAGACCATCCACACATCCCACTACAGTGCGAGGTTCTAGGACGCCAGATTCCATGAAAATTATCTGAGTGCTCCAGCTGCTCTTATCTTTGATCAGCCTTGATCAAAGATCAAAATTCTTGATTTTATATCCAGTTGCTGATCCAGTGCATAAAAAAGATGCCATCTTGAGGATTTACATAAGTAAGTCCTTGACTTACAACCGCAATTGAGCCCACAATTTCTATTGTTAAGGAAGAAAGTTATTGTGAGTTTTCCCCATATTATGACCTTTCTTGTCACAGTTGCTAAGTGAATCACTGCAGTTGTTAAGTGAGTAACACAGTTGTTAAGTGAATCTGGCTTCCCCACTGATTTTGCTTGTCAGAAGATCGCAAGAGCGATTACATGACCCCGGGACACTGCGTCATAAATACAAGTGAGTTGCCAAGTGGCTGAATTTCAATTATATGACCATGGGAATGGCACAGCAGTCATCAGTGTGAAAAATGGTTATAAGTCACTTTTTCAGTGCCATTTTAATTTCAAACAGTCTCTAAACAAATGGTTGTAAGTCAAGAACTACCTGTATTTATTTAATTGTTTTGCCTGCCTCCCCTGTGGACATCCTTAATTAGAGGGCAATACTGGAAGTAATCTATCTGTGTATATGTTCCCCCAAATACCTCTGCTGGTGTAGGAGATGACCAGGCTGAGCCCAAGGGCGGGATCAAACGTGTCATCAGTTTGGAATCCCTACGCTCCCATAAGAGACCTAAGTCCCGCCCCCTGTGAATTCCATTGACTCTAATCTAGCACGTTTGCCTTCACTGTTAGTAGTTCAGATTCTTGTGTATAGGTAACATGAAATAAATTTGTAGTACTTTTGAACCCTATCCTGGCGCCTGGTTTCTTGCGCCTGACAAGTGGCCACTGTGGGGGCTCAGGGCCGACCCAGCTGGGAGCTTGATGGCTTTCAGGCCCCTGATTCTTCTGAGATCTCAGGGTTACAAATGATGGGGTGTGTCGGGGGGGGGGAGGGAGGCAGGATGGAACTGCTGCTCCGATTTCCAAAGCTTCATCTTCTTCTTCCTCCAGGTGGAATTCCCTGAGGCCCGCATTTACGAGGAAACGCTTAACATCCTGTTATACGAGACTCCACGGGTGCCTGACAATTCCCTGCTGGAGGCCACAAGCCAAAATCGGAGCCAGGCCTCCCGCGGAGAAGACGAGGACGGCAACTACGAGCCGCGCGACCGAGTCAGGCGCATTCACGTCAAGCGATACAGCACCTACGATGACCGGCAGATAGGCCATTAGGGCCCCCGGGGGCCACCCAGAGCCCTTCCTTCCACCTGGGGGGAGGGCACGTAGCTTCAGCACTGTGGGTCCCCTCATGGGCCCAAATCTTCCAGGAGGCCAACTTACATTTCAGCCACACTGCAATATAGTTTGTGAAACTTTACTCCCCGAGGCCAAGTTACAGCTGGGTGGCAACCTTGTGGGTTTGAAGCCATCCCTTGGCGGTTTTGTGTGGAATTTGATGGGCTCCTTTTCTGCCACGAGACTCTTCCTGAAGACCTCCGTGCTTAAAAACAAAAATCCAGATGCTGAGACCAAAGAATCACACTTAAACACTACATTGCGACGATGAAACACTACCGTTTTATAGCTCCTGATCCCTTTCCCCTGAGTAGCCGTGACACTTTTTTTTCTCCTTTAGCAGAATGTGATTATTATTATTATTATTATTTTTTAATTGCCAAAACTAAGAACTGAGAGAACTTCTGATGCCACCTCGGCTAGAATCCTTAGGGCGTAATGTTGCTGGGAATAACTGGAAATCAACTTCATCCTGGAAAAAACCTCTGTCCTAGTTCCTGATTCTTACTGATGCGTTTGCGGAGAAATTTGTAGGGAAGGGATGCACCCGGTGTGCATCTTGTACACATAGTCCTCGACTTATAACCACAATTGAGCCCTTGGTTCTCTCTGAGCTCGCCCACTAGTCACTAGCACGGACGAAGTTTGGATAACGAAACGTCTGCAAGAAGACAAGCAAGCTCAGAGAGCACCAAGGACCCCTCATTTCAACCCTGAACCTACAACTATTCTCCTTGAGCTCAAAATTTCTATTTGCTAAGCCAGACTGGGGTTGCCTTGTGCTCCATTTTAGGACCTTTCTTGCCACAGTTAAGTCAATCCCTGCAGCTGTTCAGTTAGTCACACAGTTGTGTGAATCTGGCTTCCCCATGGACTTTGCAGGACATTCATAAGTATGAGCCAATCATCAGGTGTTGGAATTTTGATCACATGACTAGGGGTACTGCAACGGTTGTGTGAAAAACAATCATAAGTCACTTTTTTCAGTGCCTTCAAGCCAGGGGTAGGCAACCTTGGCTCTTTTGTGACTCGTGGACTTCAACTCCCAGAATTCCTGAGCCAGCTTTGGCTGGCTCAGGAATTCAGGGAGTTGAAGTCCACGAGTCATAAAAGAGCCAAGGTTGACTAGCCCTGCTTCAAACGGTCCCTAAATGAATGGTGGTTAAGTCGAGGATTACTTGTATTGCAAACAGCTTTGGATCTTGCAGATAACTTGGTATCTGGCTGCCGTTTGAAACCTTTAGGTTCGGGTGGAGGTGAGGATGGCTGAAAGTTAAACAAGACAAAAGCAGGAAGACCCAATTTCCTAGGTCTGTGGACAGAGATGCTTGCTCATTCAGTGATGGGTAACGTGGCCTGGATAAGCTGGAATTTGATTATTCTTCCAGAACATTTTTTTTCTCAATAATCCTCCTTTCGGTTCCCACGGTCTAGTTTGTGGAGAACAATGGGTGGGAGGTCTAAAATTGCCCACAGGATAATATTGGGCAAACTCTTAATAGCTACCTGTAGGATACTAGAAGTGGGGTGTTCAACACTTGGATGCATCTTGGGGGACTTTTCTCCCCTTAATGCTAACCTCTATAAAAGTGCTGGTGTATTGTAAAGTTAAGGGGTTTGGTATATCCCAGCAACCCCCTAGGCCAGTGTTTCTCAATAAGTTATGAGGACTTCAATTCCCAGAATTCCTCAACCAGCCATGTTGGCTGGGGAATTCTGGGAGCTGATATCTTCATATTCTACAGTAGCTAAGGTTGAGAAGCATTGCCCTGAGCCTTAGACCATCATTCCCAACTGGGTGATCTCTGTATGTGTGGATTACAACTCCCATGGTTCCTGGTCACTACATCAAGCTGGCTAAGAATTGTAGTCCCAGGGGGTGGAACAGCCAGTTGTATAAAGCCAAGGTTTTCAAACAATTCTGGGAAGATGGGAGAAAAACCATGTTATCCTTTGAGATTTAGGAAAGATTGTCAAAAAAAAAAATTCTGTTATGTCCAGAACTGAGACACAAATTTTGGCTGGCAGGATGTAGATCAGTCACTTCTGCTTCTCCTGGGGGTAAAGTTTATTGTGAATACCAGCAAAGCATCACAGTACTAAAAAATGTGTCATCTTCTAAATGGAACTTCCCTATCCAGGAGCAGTATATCTCAGTATCAGATATCAGTAAGGGGAGGATATATCCCCCTTAGTGCCTTTGGGTGAGGGTGGGGGGTCCAGTTAAATACACATTTCTGCTCCAAACACAATTATGGTCTCCTAGCTAGAATTTCTATTTGCCAGAGAAAAAATAAGGTGCTTCAAAAAAAGACCAAAAAGCAAAATTGTAAGGAACTGCTTGAAAAGAAGCCCAGTTAAGTCTGGTCACAAATGAGTTACATCTTGTATTCTCTTGCATGAGACTGGATCTCATTGAGATAGTCAATCTTGGAGGATTGGGAAAGCATCCACAATTGGAATATTTCTTCAAAACTTAAATATCCACAGCAGCTAGAAACCCAGCCCACCATCCAAACAACTTTTCTTCATAGTTTTCTAACTTTCAGCTCTTATCTAGCTCACTTGAGCAGTCTCAGCTGCACATAATCCTGCTGAAGACAGATGGCAAACATTTTCCTTTCTACAATTCTGGGTAGTTCCCACGTGGGATTGAAACCCTGTCAACATTTTTAAAATGTGCAATACGTTTCTCAGCTTAAAATGCTATTGGTGCAGGCACAATAGCCAAAGGTGGTAAATTAAAGCCACTCAAAATGCTGTATCTTGGTAGGACTGGACAGCTCCCAGCCTTTCTGGAAAAAGATAGTTCTGCTTTTATAAAAGCAGGTTTTTCTTTTAGGCAAAAACAAAAAGCTTGAGCTGGAAACGGGCAGATTAATTCATTAGTTCAACTGGCAGACTTGAATTCATTCAAGTCGGGGTTGTCATCCTTAGACACTGCTCCAGTAGAATTTCCTGGAGTGTAGTTGGCCCAAAATCATGACATACGGATCAATTGCCCCAAGGCTGCTTTTTCATGAGGCAACTGGACTTTCTCGTTTTTCTTTGAAGACGTTTTGCTTCTCATCCAAGAAGCTTCTTCAACTCTGACTGGATGGTGGGGAATGGAAAGATTTATATTCCTTGCAGACAGCTGGTCATTTGCATCCTTTTAGATCAGAGGTCCCCAACCTTTGTCGTTTAGTGGACTGGAGGAAACGGGAGGTGGAAGCATTTTACGTGCGCGCTTGTGCGCACGGGGCCGCAAGCATGCACACGCTGCAAATGGGGTGGGGCTGGTGCCCACACGATACACTCTAGCCCTGCCCTGTTCTTACGTGGTGCAGCGCTTTGCTTCTGTACCCCGTGGCGTGGCAGTGGCCCATTTTTGTGCCTTGTATCATGGCGGCAGCCCATTTTTGCACCCTGAGGCGTAGCTGCAACCCATTCTTGCACCCTGTGGTGAGGCGTCCTGTTTTTGCTCCCTGCAGCCATGGCGCTAGCGTGACGTGTGCACGCACATGTGTATGCACTGTCTAGCCTTTCCCGTGGCCAGTAGACCACGGCCACTACTGGGCTGCGGCCCACAGGTTGAAGACCCCTGTTTAGAGAATCGTTCAGGCCACTTGGAGGTTTATTTGCACCACTCAGGTGACCTTGAGGACATAGATAAACGTCCAAGTGGCGTCAACGACTCTCTAAAAGAATGCAAATGACCAGCTGTCTGCAAGGAATATAAATCCTTCCATTCCCCACCATCCAGTCAGAACTGAAGAAGCTTCTTGGATGAGAAGCGAAACATCTTCAAAGAAAAACAAAGTCCAGTTGCCTCCTGAAAAAGCACCTTTGGGACAACCATGATCTGGATGACTGAGCATCTCCATAGACATATGGATTAATTAGGAAAGGGGAAATTCCAAAGGCTGATTTCTGTGGCCATTTAGCTGTGTGTATCCACTTCAGAAAAGGCCAATAGCACTGGCCAGTGTTCTCCCTTAGATCCAGCATACTGGTAGTCCTCAATTTACGATTGTAGTGGAGCCTGCCCATCGCGGTCATAACTTGTGGCAGTTTTACATCTGATCACCCATGTAACCGACATGGTCTTACAGCCTTTGTTGTGACGAAAACCAGAAGTAAATGACAGTTTATGGCAATTTTGTCACGTAATGGGGGTCACTTGATCCAGGGACAGCTGGCTGTCAGAACTTAAAATCTAGGTCATAAGTACCCCCAGGGAGGTCTGTTGTAACTCTGAGCGGTCGCTGAGTGAACAATTATAAGTTGAGGACTACCAGTACAGATTCTGTAACCTTTCAGATTTAACTGGGTTTTTAGCAGCCTCAGCCAGTGGGGATTTTTCCCGAGCTGTGCTGCATATGAACATTCAGCTTCCTTTAGAGAGCGTCAGAGGCATCCTATCTGTTTAGGATTGTGGAAGATCCCAGAAGCAGATGCTGCTGCCCCCCCCCCCATAAAGCAAATACAGCTCAAGAGAATTCAAGTAAAAAACAAGTGACACTAATTGCAAAATGGAATATAGGGGGAGGTGGGGGGTATGCAGATCAGCTGAGAAAGGACATCGCTTGGGGGTAGAAAGGTGCCATGGGAAAATCCACTTTTTATATGGTGACAGAGGAATGTGTTATGGTTCTGGCTAATGAAAGTATGCTAAGATCTAAATTCTCTTCCTCTGAGCAGTTAAATTATCAGCATGTTCCCTCCCTAAATTAGCTGTCATATATCACGTTATCCAATTAGTGTGAAGGTCAAAGGTTTCCTTCCTCTCTCTTCCCGGGCTTTTCCCTCCACCCTCTTCTGCTCTGCATTAACTCTAAAAATACCAGACAATTCTGCATATTGACAAAGAAGAATATACATTATTTGCAGCATTGGGAAAAACAAAGGAAGAGGGTTCAGGAGACAGGGTAAACCACAGCCCTGGTTGATACAGGTAGTCCTCGATTTACAACCACAATTGAGCCCAAAATTTCTGCTGCTAAGCGAGACAGATAAGTTTTGTCCCATTTTACAACCTTTCTTGCCCCAGTTGTTACGTGAATCACTGCAGTGGTTAGTAAGATGGTTGTAAAGAGAATCTGGCACCCCCATTGACTTTGTCAGAAGGTTAAAAAAAAGTGATTGCATGACCGTGGGACAGTGCAACCGTCGTAAGTATGAGTCAGTTGCCAAGCGTCTGAATTTTGATCACATAATCACAGGGATGCTGCAATGGG